CCCACACTAGCCGCGGTCTATTCATAGTTCAGGCTCAACTTCCGCCTCTCGCCTAACTTGTGGAATGGTATCTCAGCGTCGTCGCACTCCACTGTTCGTTCCCGCTCATCTGATACTCCAATCCCTTGACATAGATCTGTATATCCCGATCATTTGGCAACTTGTCAACGAGCGCCAGATGGTTTACCTCCCATCCCCTGCACATAACCCAAAGAACCTTCTTCGCTGCCTCATAGGACAAAGTAGTCTCTTGATGCAACACCTGCACAGCCGAGCAAATTGCTGATCTTTCGGAGTGATATGATTTTAATGCCCGGAGCTCTTTATCCCAGCTGTAGATGTCGTTCACGACGGAGAGGTGTTTGACGTAGTTCTGCTCGACTTCTTTGACGGAGTCAAGTTGTTCTGGAGTGAGGTGGAGGCCCTTACATAGTAAGGGTTACGAGTGCAAGTACACCGCAATCGGAGATGTGAAAATCAAGTCGAGTCCGACTCTGGCGAGCGCGAACATTTCGCTGCTTCCGTATCGGTCTTAGTATCTCCAGCCGCAGCTTGACTCCCTGCATTTACAGGCCTCGAAGCGATATAAGAAAATGGGGCTCGAAGGGAAGGCGGCCAATTTCTAGGTTGTTTACGCTTTCACAGGATGGCAGACCCTTTCGCAACTTGGAAAGTCAATTCGAAAGACGAAGGTCGCAGATATAATACTCTTCAGGTCCATGCTGGCCAGCAGCCTGACTCGGCAACCAAATCCAGGGCCGTTCCAATATATGCAACTGCAGTAAGCTCCCCCGTACCTCATGGCTTACCCCTTGTTATTAATGATTAAGTCGTATATTTTCACCGATAGCCAACATGCAAAGAGAGTCTGCACGAGTCAAGAAAACTGATATGGTGGGTTCCTCAACCCTTCCTCTTGTTTTTTTCTCACAAATGAATTAACGTAGCATCTAGTGTATTCGAAGATTGCAAACGTTTGTAGCTGAAAAAAAAAGGAAAAAAGAAAAAAAAAAAAATATTCTGATATTGATAGCCTACTGTTGAGGTATTTGAGAGGAGGGCTGCAGCATTAGAGGGCGGCTCCGCAGCCGTTGCTACCGCCTCTGGCCAATCTGCAGTGTTTCAAACTATCCTGAACCTGGCGGGATCTGGAGACAACATCATCTCGTCGGTCAATCTATATGGTGGGAGTTATAGCATGTTCAAAACCCTTCTACCACGATTAGGGATTGAGGTGAGATGGGCAACAAGTGAGAAACCCGAGGAAATCACAGGACTCATTGATGAGAAAACTAAAATGGTCTTCGTTGAAACAATTGGGAATCCTCGGTGTAGTGTACCGGATCTCCGAAGAATTTCAGACATCGCACATTTACAAGGTGTTCCGCTTGTAGTAGACAACACCTTCGGGGCCTGCGGGGCCTTTTGTCAGGTCATTGACCATGGAGCAGACATTGTGGTCCACTCAGCTACCAAATGGATGGGAGGTCATGGAACGACAGTTGGAGGTGTCATAATAGACTCCGGAAGGTTCAATTGGGGGCAAAGTGCAACTCTGTTTCCTCACCTGGCCGAAAAGTCTGGACCTCTGAACTTTGCCTATTACGAGGCGTTCGGCAACTGCGCTTTCGCGGTGGCTCTTCGGATCAACGTGGTCATGGAAGTGGGCTCGGTTCTCGGTCCTTTTGCCGCTCAACAGCTTCTTCTTGGTCTAGAAACTCTCAGCTTGAGATGCGAGAGAATCGGTTCAAATACACTGAAAATTGCGCGCTTCTTGGAGTCAGATCCCCGAATTGGCTGGGTAAACTATCCAGGTAAATAGATAATCCACCGTTAAGTGGGAATTCTATGGTTTACATTTACCCTCTAGGACTTGAGAGAAATGAATATCACGAACTTGCAAAGAAATACTTGACTGGCGGGTTTGGCGGTGTTCTCTCCTTCGGCGTGAAAGGTGGTACCCGCGCGACTGAGATTCTGATTGACCAGTTGCGTATAATTTCATATGACAAAGTTTGTGATTCAAGATTCTTCGTTGCTTTGAAAGACTAACAAATTATTAGTGTTGATGACTCGAAAACGATGATGACTCACCCTTGGGGTTCTACACATGTTATTATGTCCGAGAAAGACAGGGTTGGAGCAGGAATCACGGAGGATCTTCTTCGTCTATCAGTAGGGACCGAAGATGTAGAGGATCTCATCCACGACTTCGATCAAGCACTCGCTAGCCCAGATCTTCCCCTGGAAAACGTGATCAACGAGCATTCTCAAGTGGCTATACCAGTTTCGAACGAAGGCATGTCCGTCCAAGGTACAGCTTTGATTGACAATCGATCTACTTTGGAAGAAAAGCTCAAGTTGAAAGTGTAAATCGGGACGGGTAGCATGGGAGTTTCGTGTTATCTGCCAGGTAGCCTCCAACTATGTTTATAAACTGTGACCTAGAGATCCAAGGTATAGAGTTATGGGAGGTGCAATAGGTGGATCGAATGATGACCCAGGCAGCAAAGAAGCCGTATATAGGTTGAACAACGAATGATATCGCTGATTTGCAACCGTCAAAAGGGGTTTCTTCTTGCGATCCGGCTTCCTCAACCCTTTTAACTCGCATCTAACCTGGACATCAAGGAACTTGTTTGATCTCCGTGTTGCTAGAAGAACGCACTGGAAAGCCTAAGCCCTGTAATCGACGGCGTCAAAAAGATGCTGGATGGGTGTGAAGGACAAGTTAATCGATCTTGATGGTTTGGTAAAGGATAAACCAAAGCTATGCCCGGGATATATAACAGAATACTTGTTACTTATATGGCGATATATAATGGTGGCTTGCTGGATGCGATGCAGATATCGATTATACTCCGTATAACGTCTGGTTTCTTGAGAGGGGGCGCAGAGAAATATCTCAACACCATCTTGGATTTTTCAAAGGAATATATCAGGAGGACCAAGGCAAAATATGCAAGGAAGACATTAAATTTGACTGCTTCCCGTATATCGCAGAGTTTTCTCATCCAGCGATTATCGCGTATATAAAAAGTTAACTAGTTTAAGGTTAAGAAGGTTAACTACGCGTTGGTGTCCCGCGCGTTTGTGGATTAACTACCTTAACTACATCTCACTCACACACTGAACTAGATAGCTCCAAATATGAGCCTCAGCTTGCTCGTCCGATACTATAGCGTCTGCCTTACCTCTTTCGAGCGTTTATCCTATTCTCCAACTCTGTAAAGTTGGGAACTGTTCATCTTTTCCATCAATTGCTGCAATGGCGCCAGTGTGCTCATTCTCACCAAATGAGAACAAAGCACTTTTATTACTCCGTCCCTCGAGGAATATTTATATGCTCATACCTTCGCGTCCTTTACATGGCCTGGGTACGCAAGCAAAGGCACGAGTACGGAGTGTACCGATTAAACGTGGTAATATCACTCACTAGCAGGGCCCCCTGGCCATAACAGCACGTTAATGTCTACATACATAGTAGTATTCGGACCTGTCCCAAAACGAAAGAGAGCCTAGAGGCCCAATGAAGGATACATGAAAGAAAGGAGAATAAAGGGGAGTAAGGGAAGTGGGCCTGCGATGCAGTGGGATGCCTCCTGTTAAAGCTCGCCCACGACCTTCCGGGTGCATGGGTAGGCCTTTAACTATACGCTATGATGTATAATGAGTCATTATGAGCAGTCCAGTAAACGGTCTGTGGTTGGTTGGATAAACACCAGCAATAAGGAACAAAATAATACTCGACTCTCCTTATACTCCCCATATTTTTGTCTCAACCTTCTGGTGCGCCGACAATCCTCCGCACTGTGGACAAACCTACATCCTCAAGATACAGATCTATATTCTTGAGAGCCATACGGTCAAAATGTCAGACCAAGGCGCAGGCTCCCCCTCCCCTCCACCTCTGCTGTCTAGCCTGAAGTTAGACGAGCATGAGAAAGAGATTCTCAAACGCCAAATACATACTCCGGAGCCGCGGATGAGTCGCTTGGAGCTTTTATATACCTGTGCAACAACCTTTGACCTACTTCTCCTGGTCATCAGTTCAATTACAGCGATAATTGGAGGAGCCATTCAACCCATATCTTTCGTGAGCTGTCCCACCCCCCGACATACATTAAATTCCCCAAACTTATTTCTATCGTACAGCTCTTTCTAGGAGGCTTGGCCCAGGCATTCAAGGACTTCTTCCTGGAAAAGGCTCCGGGTTCTCATCTCTTATCCCTAGTCGCAAGATTCGCTCTGTACTATGTATACATAGCCATTGGACAGTTCGCTTCGACGTATATCTCTACAGCCGGGTTCATGATAGTAGGGGAAAAAATAACCCAACGACTCCGTGAAAAATATCTCGCTGCTATCCTCCGCCAAAATGTAGCATTCTTCGATGTCTTGGGAGCGGGAGAAATAACAACAAGAATTACCGCTGATACGGATCTCATCCAAGATGCCTTAACGGGCAAACTCTCCCTGACGCTGTACTCCTGTTCCTGTTTTGGGACGGCTTTTATCATTTGCTTTGTGAAAAGCTGGCGCATGGCTCTCATTCTGATATCTGCAATTGTGGCAGAAGTTGGATCCATGAGTATATGCTCTTCGTTTATGGTCAAGTATACTAAGATGTCTTTATCGGCATATGCAGACGGATCAACAGCTGCCGAGGAGGCCATTAGTTCAATTAGACATGTTACTGCATTTGGGATTCAAGACAAGCTGGCCGATAGATATCAGAAGTTTCTTACCAAGGCAGAGGGCTCTGGTCTCAGGAGTCGCCTTGCCCTGGCGGCCATGATGGCCATTATGAACTGTGTCATATTCTGGACCTATGGGCTAACATTCTGGCAAGGGTCACGTTATCTTGTTGTACGGGAAATCGAATTGGGAGCTATTATAACCATTCTCCTTGCTACGCTGACCGGAGCGTTCACATTTGGTAACATAGCACCCAATTTCCAAGCGTTTGCAACTGGTATGGCAGCAACAGAAAAGATTCTTGCCACGGTGACCAGAAAGTCACCACTAGATCCATCAATCTCTACAGGAGACAAGCTACAGGCCGTGTCCGGAACAATCGAACTCAAGAACATTCGCCATGTTTACCCTTCGAGACCAGATGTATTGACTTTAGATGGGATAAATCTTCTATTTCCGGGTGGAAAGATGACGGCCATAGTTGGTGCTTCTGGCTGTGGGAAAAGTACGATAGCAGGCTTGATTGAAAGGTTTTATGAACCAATCAGTGGTGAAATATGTAAGTCTCCTTCCTGTGGAAGGTTGACCGTGCTGATAATCGTAAAAAAACAGTACTCGATGGCCACGACATCACATCTCTAAATTTGCAATGGCTACGCCAACAAGTAGCGATCGTCACTCAGGAGCCCACACTCTTCTCCACAACTGTATTCGAAAACATCAGATTTGGTCTGATAGGTACTGAGCACGAAAACTCCTCTCTTAGAGTAGTAGAAGAACTTGTGTTTGACGCTGCAAAGAAAGCGAACTGTTTTGAATTCATTTCCGCCCTACCAGACGGATTCCACACGACTGTTGGCGCAAGGGGCTCATTACTCTCGGGTGGACAAAAGCAACGAGTTGCTATTGCACGGGCTATTATTAGCAATCCGAAGGTCTTGCTGCTAGATGAGGCTACTTCAGCTCTAGATGCCCAGGCCGAGCGGCTAGTACAGGCTGCCCTTGATGTTGCTGCTGAGGGTCGGACAACTATCACAATCAGTCACCGGTATGTGTTTACTTAGGCTTAAGAGACACAAGCTAACTACGATGCAGACTCTCTACGATCACAGGGGCAGCGAACATTATTGTGATGTCTCATGGACGTGTTGTTGAGCAAGGAACCCACAACGAACTACTTGAGAAACGTTCGATATATTATCAGTTGGTGGAGAAGCAACGCCTGTCGTCTGAAAGAAATATTGTTATCAGTGAAGCAAAGTCTGCTCTCAATAGAGGTGCCGACCTCCCGGACGTTAAGGATGACTATAAAGAGTCCGATGAGTACACGCACGAGATTAGACCATACCACGAAGCCGAAGCTAGCGAGAGAGCTTCTGGGCGGGAAGCTAGTGACTGCAAATACTCCTTATGGGAGTTGATTAAGTTCGTTGCTAACTTCAACAAAGAAGAAACACTTACCATGGTTTTGGGTCTATTTTGGTCCATCATCACTGGCGCTGGAAATCCCACGTAGGACTCTATTCCCACGCTCTGTGCAGAATATTGATGCTGACTCTTCCCTCTAGGCAGTCCGTGTTCTACGGCAAGACAATCTCGGCAATGTCGTTACCCCCTTCCATGTATGGAGAGTTACGTCGTGAGGTAAACTTTTGGAGCCTGATGTACCTGATGCTAGGAGGTACCGCATTCCTAGGCTGGGGAGCATCGGGGCTCTGTTTCGCCTACTGCTCTGAGCGCCTGATTCATCGTGCTAGAGATCGTTCTTTCCGAGCAATGCTCCATCAGGATATCTTCATGTTTGACAAACCTGAATTCTCAGCTGGAGCTCTTACAAGTGCGCTATCTACCGATGCCACCAATCTTGCCGGAATGAGTGGTGTGACGTTAGGCTCAATCCTCATTGTCTCAACTACTTTGGTTGGCGGTGTGGCTTTATCGGTTGTAATAGGCTGGAAGCTCGGGTTAGTTTGTGCAGCAACTATTCCAATTGTTCTTGCTTGTGGTCTTATCCGACTTAAGATCCTTGGGAAGCTAGCTCGAAATTCGAAGGCGGCGTACCAAGCTTCAGCAACTTATGCGTGTGAAGCAAGTGCTGCTATTAAAACAGTTGCATCGCTTAGTCTCGAAAGTCATGTCAAGGAACACTATCATAACATATTGGAAGCCCAGAGACAAAAATCAGTTGTTTCCACACTCAAGTCATCAACGCTGTATGCAGCCTCCCAGTCGGCCCATTTTTTCTGCATATCCCTGGCTTTTTGGTATGGAGGAACTCTTATTGTCCACGATGGCTATTCTGTGTTGCAGTTCTTCATCTGTTATGCAGCTATAATAGCAGGTGCATTTAGTGCAGGAGCCATATTCTCATTTGCGCCAGATATGAGCAAATCCCGCCAGGCGGCCCAGGATATCAAAACGCTGTTAGACCGACCTGTTAACATCGATGCACGTCAAGGAACTGGCGAAATTTTAACGAAAATAGATGGTAGTTTAGAGATGCGCAATATCTATTTCCGATACCCTAATAGACCGGAGAAGATGGTTATTGCCGGCCTAAGCCTGAGTGTCCAGCCGGGGCAATATATAGGGCTTGTGGGAGCGAGTGGATGCGGGAAGAGCACTATCATAGCTTTGCTAGAGCGGTTCTTTGACCCCGAGGCGGGGCAGATACTCATTGATGGGAAAGATATTTCTAAGTTGAATATCAAGAACTATAGGAGTTACCTGGCTCTGGTCAGTCAAGAGCCGACACTGTATCAGGGAACAATAAGGGAGAATATCACCCTTGGAACCAACGACGAGGACGTTTCTGAGGAGAAAATTACCAAAGCATGTAAGGATGCTAATATCTATGACTTCATCCAGTCTCTGCCGTAAGCCCCCCTTTTTCCATTCTCTGGCCCATTTTATATTTTTTTATAAGTTGCACTTAAATGAGTACCTACTAACGTTCAGCTCAGCGATGGCTTCTCAACAGTTATAGGGGCTAGGGGAGGCATGCTTTCTGGCGGGCAGCAGCAACGAATAGCCATTGCACGGGCGCTTCTTCGCGATCCACGTATCCTCCTCCTGGACGAGGCAACTTCCGCTCTCGATTCAGGGTCTGAAAAGATCGTCCAGGATGCCCTGAATGCGGCGGCTCAAGGCCGAACAACGGTCGCTGTTGCACACCGGATAAGCACGGTGCAGAACGCCGACTGTATTTATGGTAAGAAACAAACCCCGATCCTAAGTTGCAACGATAAAGATTAACTTATGCGAGTAGTATTGCATGATGGTAATGTTGTGGAACAGGGGACGCACCAAGAGTTGATGGAGCTGGGAGGGAGGTATTTTGAGCTGGTGAAGTTGCAGAGTTTGGAGAGGACAGACTAGAAAACATATGTTATAACAATTGAACGTTAGCTAACTATTTATCCTCGCAGGTTTTTTTAAATGAAGTGAGTTAACCATACGATAAAGTAGCTTTATATTTTAGTCATATCCAGGAGAAATCGGATAACTACAACTAGATCGGTGTGCTCGGCCCTCCCGAAAGGTCTCCTTTACCATGGCTTAAACCGTTGCAGCCGCAATCAACGGATTCCAACGCCCATCATAATCTTTCCGTCCCGTTAAGACGGAGCTATGGCTCTCATCAACTCCATCCTTCCCAAATACCTCAAATTTCTGGAGATACCAGTTTTTACTCTTCCACTCCTTTCCATCTCCATCGACAAACGCTGCATCGGTCTCTGGGCGCATGAGGTAAACGATGGTATACTTGGTACGGTTGAGGGCATCCGGGTGCGGCACCACCCGATGCAAACTCGACCTCAGTCTGCCCCTGGAAAGGAACTGCAACGAGTCTCCCACATTCACAATCGCATGGCCTTCTCGCGGCGTAATATAAGCCCACTCATCCGTCCCCGGCATTGCGACTTGCAACCCTGGCACGTCAGTGAACACAAACGACAAGCTCCCCGCGTCTGTATGCGCAATATGTCCCACCCCGATGTCTTCAGCTGTGCCGTAGGGGAGGTATTTAAGGAGCCCTAGGGCGGTGGTTGATGCTTCCCCCTTTCGGTGGGTGGATGTGAAGGAAGATTCTCCAGTCAAGTCCAGAGATTGGGACAGGCTGGTAAGAATTAAGAGGCCGATGTCACGTAATACAGATACATTGGCTTGGAGGAGGCTGCCCTCTGCTTGTAGCGGGCCGGGGGCGGCCATAGTGGTGGGATCTGATACACAGCCCAAGGGGTGTTCAAAAATCTTCAGAGAGGCTGATCAGCACATCAAATACAATATGCATGGTACGTATGGACAATAATTCACTAACCATAAACCCTTCAAACCCATCCTTCTTCCCTTCTACGGGCCCTGACCCCATCCCTGCGTCCTTATACCCAACAATCATATCCTCCGCGTGATTATGGTCAGCCACCCACACATTCTTCTCCTCGCGAGCTAGATCATACAGAGCCTTAGAAGTTTGAAACAAACGTTTAATTTGGTTGGCTGACAAGCCATCTTTCCAGTCAGTACAGTCAAGGTAGAAGAACCCCGTGTCAGTGCAAGCTGCTAACAGCTTGGAGACAGTAGCGGCCTCATTAGACATTAATTTGTCCAGTGAGATGACTTCGAGGATAGCACTTTGGGGCGAGGGTCGGGAAGGGATACTAGTGGACTCCCTGATATCTGGTTTAAGAGGGGGCTTTGATATAGCAAAATCGTGGACTCTGAATGATAGCAATCGAATAGCATGTACGGAGGAGTATCTAGTCATGCATAAAGCAGTATTCGAGGCCTCGAACATCACAGAGCCAATTATATGGACTATGCCTCGTTCAGCTCCTAATTGGCAAAGGTCGGATGCGAATCAGAACGCCGTACGCCGTGGGAACTTGGGAGCTCCTTTCGTCAAGGGGGTTTCTCAATCAGGAAAACTCCGAAAGAATCAAGCTTATATTCAGTACGAAGCCGACCGGCCTGGGAAGTGGCCCACTTGCTAGCCTTTTTGTCATTCTCCGTATTCATATTTTCATGGATACTTTCAGCATCAGCGAGGATTGAAAGGAGGACTATACGCAATGTGACCTGGAAGAAGTTGTCACCCTTAAGCGGGTAGTAAATCTGACTTTCGGGTGTAAGTCCAAATCATTCAATCGTTCAGGAGAGAACATTGCTGTTTCCGGAGAGTGGAGGAGGAACGGCTTGATATAACACGAGGATTAAGCCAGCTCAGTCTACTCCTTACTGAGTAGACATTCTGAAAGTAAAGCATCAAAAGTGTCTGGTTCTTACACGTAGTTATCGTTGCATGACACCTAAACAATCTTATCTCTATGAGCAAACGAAAATAACACATATATGAACTATAATCCATATACTCTAGGGTTTAGACGAAATTCATCAACATCACGCTATTGAGGCTGTTACCGACTCTACTAATGAATTGGCCGGTAAGTTAAGGATTTTTGCCAAAATACCCCCAAAATAAGCCACGAATTGACGGACTGCTTCCGCATCGAAACGGGTGTAGTTGTACCGCAATTGAGCATTAATAGTCTCCCCGTCCTGGTTGATATACAATTCCAGGGGTTTGACTGGCTCCTGTTCGTCGTGTAGTTTCCATCGGCCATAATCTACCGGCATATCAAGAAATATAATCATCCCAAAAATGAGAAGCAATTCGTGGACTTCATGACCGAGTATCCGCTCTAAGACACCGTAGGATGACCACTGGAACTCTCTCAGTTCGTACACTTCGCGGTGAATAGCTCTCAAGTATTGTCCCAGGGCCATTGTCTCATCAATCGTGGTGATGGTCGGACATCGTTGGTTCAACGGCCCTACAATAGATTCTGTTGATGCTAGAGCAAGATTTCGACCCGAGAAACTACTCATGTAGCAGACTGTCTTCGAATCAGTGTATTTGGACAAGACCAAGGACAATGCGGCGTGGAAAAGTGAAGATGAGGAGACTCGTTGACTGTGTGCAAAGTTGTCCAGCTCCGATTTTGAGATTGCTATCACTGATTCCTCAATTATCCAGTCCCGGCTAGATTCTAGCGATGGTAGATTAGCTGGCTTAGGCAGGTTGATAGGCTTCAGAGCGTGAGCTACTGCGAAAGACTTCTTCCAGAAGCTGTCATTCTCAGAACAACGCTGGATTTTGAGGCATTCCTGGAAAAGTACGGCATCGGAAAATTGTGGCGGCTCTGGCAATTCCCTATTTTGGGTAATAGCTTCAAGCTCATCCAGTATAATCCCCACAGACCAGCCGTCCAATAAACTGTGGTGTATCACCCAGAATATCCCAATAGATTTCTTGGGAGCCTCGATAATTCTCAGGTAGTTGAGAGGCTTCCAAGAAATTGGACTCGGTTCGCATATTCGATCCCAGACAGACTCCCGTATCGTTTCGCAAGTCGAATCAAACTCGGATTCGGATACTTGGGTTTCAGTCCATTCCAGATTTGGTTCCGGTTGGACGAGCTGGGTTTTCTTGTCTAGATCAAATGCAGTTCGCAAGATGGAATGCCTTTTAAACAGAACCTCCCAAGCCTTGTGCAATACCGAACTGCTTAGTTTTCCGCTGGTGTTATCTATCTTCATGGAGAAAACCAAGTTGTTTTTAGCAGGGCTCTGAAGTGTCTCGCTTATGTATTGATATTGGATATCGGTTATGGGCAGTAATCTACCAAATGCGGCATCAACCCCACCTCTGGTTTCAACGGTTTCGAATGTTTTCTCTGGCGCTTGCGTGGGGACCGCTTTCTGGCAGATACTCGAGACTTTATCTAGAACAAAGAAATCTCCTGTTGGGATGCTCAAGTGATGCATCCTTAAAAAGGACGAAAGCCGCACCGCAGAGAGTGAATTTCCTCCTAGTTCCCAAAATGATGAATCGTCATTGATCTGGGAGATTGGAGTCCCTAGGACCTTTGAGAACCCATATTTCACCACCTCCGATGGTGACGACTGCTCAGTCAACCCCTTGTGGGTTGTTGTCTCCTGTATCAAGATTGCTTTAAGAGCAGCAGTGTCAATCTTCTGATTCGACGTAACAGGGAGTTTTTCAAGGGGAAGAACTACATCTGGAACAATAAATGAGTCGTATTCTTTTGCAAGCGCCTTTCGCAATAGTTGTGGAGGTATCACTGAGGGAGTAACGAACCCAATCAACCGCGAAGCATGCATAATTGCAGCAGCTGAGCGGACTCCTGGGTAGCTTAGTAGTGCTGGCACGACTTCCGCGTCTAGGTTGATCAAGAACCCTCTATTCTTGACTTGTAGATCAATCCTGCCAATAAATTTGAACCCCTCTGGAATTCGCTTTGCAAGATCACCAGTACGATAGTGCCGCTGCCCTTTCCATATTATAAACTTCTTCAGGGTCAGCTCCTCATTATTGAGATATCCGGCTGCAAGACAAGGGCCCCGAATGCAGATTTCCCCAACCTCTGCCTCCTCAAGGTTTTCATCAAGTAGGACAATCTCAATTCCCGGTATGATACCCCCAATAAATATGGGAGTATCAGGGCGCAGTTCAATGCTGGAAATAGCAGTTGTGCATTCGGTTGGCCCATAGCAGTTGTAAACTTTACAGGTTGGTCTCGACTAAAGCCTGACGAGGTTTGCGCTTGGAGGTTCACCTCCCATCCAAATCTCTCTCACCCCAGGATAGTGAGCTGGTGAGTCCATCGTGGAAAGAATAGTTGGAGTTATAATAATGGCTTCACATTTGGCGGCCTTTTCAGCATAGTCATCAGAAGAAGCCATTATAATCGTACCTCCATTGCACATTGAATTGAAAATAACACCGGCGCAGCCTGCAATAAATCTTAGGCACAGAAAAGACCAAGGCTTAGACGGTGGACTTACCATCGAAAGCTATGGAAAACAATAGCAAAACCTTTTTCCCTGGCCTTATTACTAGGATGCCATCGTAATCCTGTGTTATGAGGTTAACCACACAAGATTGCGGGATCATGACGCCTTTTGGTTGGCCCGTCGTTCCTGAAGTGAATATTATATACACCAAGTCCGTCGGTTTGAGACCTTGTCGAGCGCTGATGAGGTATGGGTATGCTTCTAAGGATGGGGAAACATCCGGCGACTCCAGAATATCACTCCCAATAGACAGGACATTGTATCCAGGCAAATTGATAGCAGTGGTCGCAAGCACCGTTTTTGCCTCAGTCGCTTCAAGCGCAGCTTCAATTCTGCCTCGACTCCAAGAATCCACATCTATAGGAGCGTAGCATGCCCCCAGTCTCAATACGCCCACAACCGCTGGAAGCATTTCCAACGACATTTTGGTCAGAATTGGAACTCGGGACCGTGGCCCTAGCCCGGCTTTGTGAAGCATGGACGCGACTCGGATGGAGGCCCGTCGCAGTTGGGCAAAGCTCAAGCTTGTATCTTTCCATTCTGCGGCAACTGTGTCAGGAGAGTTGACTGCCCAGCGATCGATCATGTCAATCAGAGCCGTTTCCATCTCCCGCACGGGTGAGGAAGCCATATTTTTCGAGTTTCGACAACAGGTAAAACAAGGATATGCGGATAGCGAAGAGCTCTGGGAATTAGAAACGACTTAAGAGGGCTGAAGATGGCGCGACAGGGAAGAAAAGTCCTACGAGGAAACGTAAGGACTCGACCAGATTAACCGTTAGCTATATGACTCCGTAACTAAATATCGGAGTAGACTAACTTGACGTCGTCCTGGATTGATCGTTTTGTGGCTTGGTTCTTCTCCCTCTAACATCCGCCCCCCCTGGCCCGCCCCGATGCAAGGCCCGAAGTAGCAATTCCGAGAATATGAGCTGCAAAGGTACATTATTTACGCAAAGAAATAAACTGATGTAACATGCCTCTGGATAGTAGTATGCAGAGCTTTCCTTTGTTTCTCAGCCCTGGGCAGCTGTGCTTCTTTGCGAGGTACAACCATGGCCTTCCTAGATGTCTTCGCACGGTCTGAAGGGTTTAGTACGGCCATCTTGGCCTTGATCTCCCCAGTGATTATTATCTTCATCCATTTCTGGTCAGACAGTTTTTTACGGGCGCAGAAGCTCAAACGACAGCGTATCGACGTCCCCATTATCAATCTAAAGGGAGATGACTATGACGCCGCTCTCAAGGCATATGTCACCGATGCCAAAAGCTTGCTGCGACGTGGATACAAGGAATTCAAACATGGTATATACCAGATCTGGACCCTTCACGGCTTCACCACGATTGTTTCACCAGATTTCTTAGAAGAACTGAGCTCTCTTCCTCCCGGAACTATAGATTTCTACGAAGGAACTCGAAAGGTTTGATAATTTAGTGCAAGGTATCTACAGGCAGAAGCTAATCGATTTCTAGCGTATGGTAGGTGACTATGAGTGGGTGAAGTTAGGAGACCCTTTGGAGGCTCACACGATTTTGAAAGATCTGACGCAGAATATAGGTAAACAAGCCTAGTTGCAACGCCCTCTTGAGCTCTTATGCTAACATGAATTCTTCTTTTGCAGAATACTTGTTCTCCGAGCTTGGAGATGAGATTGACTATGCTCTGAAAACCGAGCTGCCCGAGTGTAGAGGTGGGTTTCTTAAAACTGGGAGGCAATATATATATATGTGCATTGGATACTAATCTATCATAGACTGGACCCCCATAACCATTCAACCAAAAATATTGCGCATCGTTGCCCTTGTGACGGGCAGAGTATTCGTCGGCCCTGAGCTCAACCGCAACGAAGAGTGGCTACATACATCAAGCAACTTCATGATGGATATTTATATAGCAGGAAGTGCTCTGTATAAGTACAGCCACTTTATGCGTCCATTTGCAGCAAGATTCCTGGTGCCGGAGATTCGTAAGGTATGGTCGCATCAAGCCACCGCAAAACGTCTATTTGTCCCAATCATGGAGCAGCGAAGAAGCAATGAAGTGTCAAAACCTGGCTACCAGAAACCGAACGACATGATCCAGTGGCTTATGGATAATAATGCAAAGGAGGATAAACCTCGCACTTTTGCGGAACTTGCCAACCTGCATCTACTTGTGTGTTTTGCAGCACTACATACGTCTACGCTTGCTTTGACACACATACTCTTTGATCTTGCCGCACGACCTGAGTATTTGGAACCTCTTCGAGAGGAGAAGTGTGCCATAGAGAGGGCTTCTTGCGGTACCTGGTCCAAATCCAACTACAACAAAATGGTTAAGATGGACAGCTTCATGAAAGAATCACAAAGACTGAATCCTCCAAGTTTGTGTAAGTTCAAAGTCAATAGACCTCCACTATGCCAAATTTCTATATAGCTGTTAACGGTTTTTGACATGGGAGAAATATAGTGACGTACAGTCGCCTAGTACTGAAGGAGTTTACGCTCAAAAATGTGCTCAAGATCACGCCTGGGACTTACATCCTTGCCCCCGCTGGCCTTGTATCCTTAGATAATGATATCTGGGAATCCGCAGACGAATTTCGTGGTTTCCGCTTTTCTGAGCTTCGATCAAGAAGCAAGGAAGACGCGCACAAATTCCAATTCGCTACGATTACACCCAATGCTTTACACTTCGGCCACAGTCGCCAAGGTTGTCCCCGCAGATTCTTTGCCAGTTATGAGATTAAAGCCATTCTATCTCACATTATCGAGAGTTTCGATATTAAACTACTGAATGAGAAGGCGGGGAGACCCGCAAATAAGATCACCGGCGCTGCGATTAATCCAGATGAGTCTGTGCAGCTCTTATTTCGTAAGAGAAGGGCTTAATAGACTAGTTAGCAAGTGATTTAAACATCAAAAAAAAGGCTCTGCAATTGCCTTCCAAAGGACAGATTCTTATACCCATGAGATTTAACGAGTTCGTCAGTAGGGTGGTGCTGTCACTTTAGTCTTGGAAGTTTTCCTAACTAAACTCTAAATATAACTAGTCGGATAACTTACTATTTAAGTTATAACCACTAGTTATATCCTAGCGGCTCGGCCCGAAAGTCTTTCTCGGACTTGCCTATCCTGGATATTGCCGAATGTTTGGGGCTCATAGCTCCACGAGAGCGGTACTTAACACCATCCAGGAAAACTATCTTATCCTAAAGTTTTTCATCTATGAAGTATTGTTATAAACCTTCCTTCGGATATTCGTCATGTTATCCCAAGAACCTGCGCAAGCTTTACACAGTTTATTACAAAGCTCAATCGCGAAACTCGCCCTTTTCAGTCTTATTCTCCCGGTAAGTCATACTATAGCGATCTCCCAGCAAGGAAAACAATAGAATTAAGATATCTGACACTAGATAGGTCATCTATTGTGCCTCAATTGCATTCTATAATGTATACTTACACCCACTCTCCAAGTTTCCTGGTCCATTGCTTGGACGCGCATCTCTGGTATGTCTCGAAACTTCTTTATCAACCCAGTTCAATTTGTTTGAGCAGGACAATGATTGATACAATAATCAGCTATGGCGAGCCCGATACTCGATGGGAGGAAGATTTCACGCCTCGATCGACAAAGCACACAAAGAATATGGTATACATCCAGCCCCTTTCCAATTCCTACCGCGAGGAAATGAAAAGGTAGAAGAGTCTAACAAAGTTCCGAATATCAGGCGATATAGTTCGTATATCCCCGAATGAACTCTCCTTCGCCTCAGTTGAATCTTGGAAAGCCATATATGGACACCCGGTCGCGGGGAGAGCCACAATGGTAAAAAGCGAGTTTTACGATATGTACGGATCTGGTTTTGACTCCCTGTGTATTGGATCAGAACGGAAGCCGCAGGTTCATTCTCGTATGCGCAAATCTCTGACACCTGCCTTTTCGACAAAGGCTCTCGCAGAGCAAGAGTCGATCGTGCAAATGTGTATTGATGAATTTATTGAAAAGGTAGGGGAACAGGGAACGCAAGAGAAGGGGTTGGATATGACGAAGTGGTTTGAAATGTTAGCTTTTGATATTCTAGGCGAGATGGCATTTGGAGAAACTTTTCATTGTATTCAGAATGGTGAGTCTTTCTGTTCACTTAGCTACGCACGATATGTTCAAACGGCTGATAATAGAAGGCAAACCTCACCACTGGAGCGAGATGATAACATCTCATCTGTTTTTTATCACCCTGCTTGATAATCTCCGCCGCTATCCCATCTTTTATTATATCGGAATATTTCTCTTACCCAAACTTACGTTCTCAGTACGGAACCAGCATTCGCAGTTCAGTCGTGACAAAGTCGCGCGGTGAGTCCCTCACATTTCATTGTGTACACCCAGACACAATTAAACTTATATAAAGATATAACTAGGAGACTTGAAAGTAAATCGCCGAGGAAAGATTTTCTTACCAACCTCGTCCAGAAGGTAGAGACTGGTGAGGTTGGTAGGGAAGAAATGACTGCACATGCTTCTACTTTAATGTCAGGAATCCCCTTCCCCTTTAGATCCCTGGCTTGATAACTTTTCACCCTGGCATATATCTAACTTCATTTACAGCATCGCCGGTGGAGAGACAGTAGCAACCTTCCTAGCTGCTACCACATACTATATCCTTAAAAATCCCTCTGTCTATGCGGAACTTTGCAAGGAAATCCGTTCCCAATTCCACAGTCTATCCGATATCAACGCGACAGCTGCTCAGCAACTGCCTTACCTTCAAGCCGTCATTTCAGAGGGCCTGCGTATCTATCCACCGGGCTCCCAGGGCTTTCCTCGCTTGAGTCCTGGAGCAGAGATTGCTGGAATGTATATTCCACCCGGAGTAAGCTAAGTTTATTTTCAGTTATTGTTTCTATAACTACACGTCGTTATGGCATGCTGAGATTTGAACCTTTCACAGACGGAAGTTTACACCAGTGCCTGGACAGTGACTCACGATACGCGATACTTCCATGATCCCTATGCCTTCAAACCCTCCCGCTGGCTCGATCCCGATTGCACTGATATCAAAGAAGCTAGCCAACCATTCTCCTTGGTTCGCGTAGCTGTCTAGGCCGAAAGTAAGCTTCATTGAATCACCTTTCCCCACTCAATTGTCTAGCTTTGAATTGCTATTAACCACCCACTGCAGTTTTGCATATGTTGAAATGTCTTGTATTCTTGCTAAGGTATTCTATACCTTCGACCTTGAATTGTTGGACCCGAAGCTGGAGTGGGAAAAGCAAAGCCGGATACATGTCATGTGGTGGAAGCCTTCGCTTCCAGTGAGATTCCGGGCGAGAGAAAGAGCCGGAGCCAAAGAAATGTGAAGGGATGAATAGTGACTACATAGTACATAGGTCACAGAGGTAGTTTGGCTAAAAGTATTGTACTATGTACTATGTAAGGTCTGTGAAGCGATAGATCAATGCCAGCTTACTCCGTAATCCGCAATGATAGATATATATAGTCGAATAATGTAAAAGGAACCAAGTAGCTAGCCACTCGCAATATAGAAGTCTGCAAACCCCTTGAGGCCTTGCTTCCGGTATTCGGTTGCTTCTTAAAGGGGCATCGCATTCCCCCAGAAATGCTCAGCTCCGAGCGTCCCTCAATATAAATATCAATGAGAGGATTTGGGGTATTGACACCGGTCTCTGGCTCTGGGGGGGTAAATCCAGAGGTAAACAAGAAAGCCCCGTTTCGCCATGACATCCCTCGATATCAAGCTCGAAGACATCCCCAGCCTAGTAGGCAAGAAGGTGATTCTAACAGGTATGTACGTATATCTTCTGGAATCTTCAACGAACTAACCCACTCGTAGGGGGGTCCTCCGGAATTGGCCTGGCGGCCGCGAAGACGTTTGCCCACCGCGGAGCCCAAGTCCTAATCCTGGACGTCAAATCTCCCCTCGAACCGCTGCCCTCTGCAGTCGAATATCGTAAATGCGATATCTCCAAATGGGCCGAGCTCCAGTCTGCATTTTCACATGCGGGGAACGTCGATATCGCAGTCGCGAATGCTGGGGTTTCGGAGGAGACTGATTATTTTTCAGACACTTTTGATCCTGAGGGGGGGTATCCGGTCATGGAGGTAAACCTGAGGGCAGTGCTACACTTCGTGAAGCTGTCCTTGAGCCATTTCAGGAAGAGGAAGTGCCAGGGAAGTATTGTAATTACATCCAGCGCAACGGCATATTCTCCTGAGCAGAGTTTACCTGTGTATAGCGCTTGCAAGCTGGCTGTTAGTTCTTCCACTTCATTCCCTACTACCGCTTTAACAATCTAACGGCCCGGCCCCCTCAGCTTATCGGCCTCGTTCGTGCTCTTCGCTCGACTGTAATCCGCGACAACATAACAATCAATGCCGTTGCCCCAGCCGCCACAATCACCTCCCTCCTCCCCGCGGACCTCGCGGCGCCAATTATCGCTGCCGGACTCCCTGTTAGCACTGCCGAATTCGTTGGCCTAGCGGTGGCCTACTCATCTTGTGCAGTGCAAACCCGTCAAGTGGAGCTATACGGTAGAGATCCGGACGAGCTGGCGAACACACCGGGGCGATGGAACGGAAGAGTTATTTTGACGCTGGGGAGCAGATACACGGAATTGGAGGAGCCGATTGCGCGTTTGCGTGGGGAGTGGTTCGGGGAGGAAAATAAACGGGATACGAGGATGCAGCAGATGGCTACAGATTTCAGGGCGTTTCCCAATATGTAGCTAAAGAGCCAGGGATTCTCGCTTTGGCAGTTCCTAACATATAGTAACCTTTTCCATTATAGTCAACTTCTCCATGGTTCTGTGGCTCATGCCGGCTCTAATTTGATGTAGATGAACGGTCAAGAGAACAACGACGTATTCAGACACTTCCCTGCTGTGCCCTACATACTACATCAGCAGTGTGTTCAAATACAGGCTCTTAAACGTTGGATCGGCCAGAGAACGGCCCCCAACTTGATGTATCTAACAATTTTATGCAAAGTCTAGAAGCTGAGTTTGTAATTTATGAGTGTGATAGGGTAGTCCTGTCCAGCGCCGCCTTCAGATTCTTGACCTTCTGGTTCATAGGCATCAAGATAGCCAGATGCGACTCCAAATTCTCAGTCATGGCATTCTTACTCAACTTTGCAATTGTATCACTCAGCCTCTTTAACTGCAACTGAATCAGCATCCCGAAAACCGTGTGGCGCTCCTCTATCGTATCGATTTGATACCCGCCTATCGTGACTCTTCTATACTGAGAGACCCAGGTGTCTTCTTGAGTTGCAGCAGAATTTACCGCACTGGCAGCAGCCGCAGCTCCCCCGGGCCGTGTCTGCTTCATCCGCGCGACCGCTTGTAATTGGCGGTCCCAGCCTGCAGAGATCCCCTCGAAAATCGCTATCATTTTCTCACATAGGACTATGACCAGCAGTTTAAGCCCAGGATCTCCCCCGGAAGCTGAGCACTGGACGATGGACTGGCATTGGCCAATGTTTCGCTTTAGGGTGTAGAGCGCTTGCTCCACGGAGTACAGACCCTCTGCTGGTTTGAAGTGGCTGGAGACCACTTCTAGGATCTTGAGGGCGGATCTGGTGCACTGGCAGCTGTTAGTACTCGAATTGTGTCCGATGGACGAGTCAATGGAAGCGCAGTGGCTGGTCTTCCCGGACCCGCGAGAACTTGTGCCCGGGGAGGATATCGTCCGCGAGATAGGGTTAAGGGGCCCTGGAAAGGGAGGCGATCCCTGGGTGGAGATCGTGAAGTCGTCTTCCAGAGGTTGTTCGTGGGCTGCTTTTAGGTTCAGCTGACTAGTTCATAGTGTATAATATATATATTGGGGGAATAGGGAGAAATATCTTACTTGAAAGTGACATGCCAGCGTCTTCAGCTAGTGCAACTACAGGATGCCGTTGCAGAGTATGGCTGAGCATATCGTCACCTTGTCCTAGAGTCGTAAAGTATTGGTCGAATAACTCTCTGCCGAAGTCAGCATGTTCGGTCACGGTCGTGGGAACGGCCGCAGAAGCCGGTCTTCGCACAGAGCTCGAAGGGATATCGCCAGCCTGATGATGGATGGAATCCGGCCGACTTTCTACTTGGGGGGGGCCTCTCTTGATCCCCTGATTCCCACAACGCGATTGATTCGCCTACGGATGGCGCATCTTGTAAGAAAGCTGTGGATTCAGCCGGTCTCTCATTTTCTGGTGACGGCTGGGGTCTGCTTTGGCGTGGACTTTGGGCCGCTGGGAGAGCTGGCGGTTTGGACGAGCTCGACAACAGATGATGTTTGCGTTTCTTCACGCTTGGTTTCTCGGCCCTGTAGGAACATTCAGTGCCGGCAGAGGAGCATCGCTGGCACCCCGTCTTGTCTCCGTCACATTTAAGCTTGAGGGAAGGTTTAGTACGTGAAACTTCGAGTGGACGCGAACAGGAAGACAGCCATGGATGGTCGACTGTACCTTTTTGGCTCGACAGGCGTTGCAGGCGAAGTGAGGATCGGGCGATGCTTCGTAGGGAGGCTTCGAGGTGCTCTCGACGCACCGGATCTCGTCGCCTTCATCACTTCCATAGCGGAGCGTGACAAACATGATAGTCGATAGTTGGCAGGTTTCCGTGAAGGAGGAGGTTCTGCGTTGCTGTAGGATATGCCATCTGAGATGCCTCCCTCGGTGTCTTATACCAAACAGCAACACCCGCATTTACGTACAGAGTCTGCCATAGTATACATGGAGTGCATAAGCTCCCTGTCCCGCTGTCAGCAGCCCATTCACCGGTTACTTGGATACGCTGCGGATGCTTGAGCTGTTAATAGTTACCCCGATATAATAGTTATCTTCACAAGTTACTTACGCTGGAGGGGGAATGGAGGTGAAGCATCGAGCAGATCTAGATGTAAAGTGGCAGCTTTGGAGCACCCAAATCACAGATCCCTGCCTATATATCATGCACTTCGCTAGCCAACTGCTGTTTGTATGGCTAATTGGTTCCTTCACTTGGCCATTCAATATAGTAGCGGTGGCGCTGCTTATCCAGCTGCTGTAACATTGAATAGGATGACCGGTAGTTGCCGTCACAATAGTAGCTATCACCACTAAGGAGGCGACTTACAACTCCCACGCGCCAAGGTAAGAGTGAAGGAAACTAACAGCTCGACAGCTCGACAGCTCGACAGCTCGATAACTTGACAATTCGACAGCTCGACAACTTGACAGCTTGGATATTGTAGTGCTGGAGCGTCGAGGTTGCTAAGTCTACCAGCGTCATGGCTACCTTAGGCCGAGGAGATATGCCAGCGGAAGACGAAGAAAAGGACTCTGAGATACTCGACTCCTACCTACAAGAGAGATCGCCAGCCTTTAATGCCCTTCGAGCCGTCCAGAAAGCGGTAAGAGCCCAGCGGTGGTCGATTCAGATATATATACCGGTTGCTTATTTAACATCAGGTCTGGCAGTCTCCCGCAGCAGACGAACATTTTTTGAAGCAAAGAGAAAGGGCCGATTCAGCTACTCCGACTCTTAAGAAGTATTTCTTCAGGACGATGCGAGCCATCGGCGATCAACTCCAAGCAGCTAAACATATCATCCCGCCACCGGGAGAAACGAAAGGCTTCAAGGTCCTCGATATCTGTATGGCGCCTGGAGGGTATTCGGCTACGGCCCTCAGATACAATAAACACTCTAGCATATACGGCCTTAGCCTGCCGGAGGAGGAGGGCGGACACGAGATGCTTCTGCAGAATTGGCAGAAAGACCCTCGTTTCGACGTGAGGCTGATGGATATAACTATGCTCTCTACGGAGTTTGGCTCTCCCGATCTTCTTCCTGCCGATAACCCTCTGGCCTCACAGTTTTCTAGCTGTAGACCGTTCGACGGGCTGGAAGCTGACCTGGTCTTCTGTGACGGCCAGGTTCTCCGCACCCATGAACGGGCGGTTGGCTCCAAGTTTGAGGCATCTCGATTGACAAGCGCCCAGCTTATTCTTGCTCTGCAGAGGATCAAGAAGGGTGGAACCATGGTAATGCTCTTGCATCGGGTGAATAACCCGCGCAATGTGAAACTCCTTCACGCCTTTAGCCAATTCGCTGAAATTGATCTATTCAAGCCCACTCCAAGCCATGCTGCCAGAAATTCGTTCTACCTCGTGGCGAAAAATGTGGACCCGACGAGCTTGGGGGCCCGTCAGATGCTCGAAAACTCAAAGAGTTGCTGGAAAACGAAGACCCTGCAAGCTTTTAACGACGAGCCATATGAAGCTGAACAGAATACGTCTGGAGACGAGATGAGGAGCATCTTGCAATCGTCGTTCGGACAAAGACTTATCAGCCTCGCTGAGCCTATCTGGGACATTCAAAGGGAAGCATTAGAGAAGAAGTTTTTGAGAGGATCACCGAAACTTGCAACTACCTCCTAACGTATTCTTTTTTTACATCTGACTTGAAATGACATTGCCTGGTGGACGGAAAGACAAGCCGCTACACACGACAAATTACAAGCTGCACCTTATCCGTGATAATCGCCCTCCGTCCTTTCAAGCTGACCCCTGCTTAAGTTTCCCTCAAACCGAAGTTGATTTAAACTGTGGCTAGTGGTCAGTGTTTTCTGCGGACACCCTCGAGCATTCGGCGGTATAAATTCATTACTATTGTTGTAGATGCCGTGATAGCGGTTGAGCTTCCTCTAGAAAATCTATAGATACTCTCACCCAGGGCTTTCAGTGGACGCATTAACAAGCTGTATAGTTCCCGTACCATACTGCTCTAGACGCTGGAGTAACAGACGAATCTGATGATTTAACCCTCTCTCCGTTTTCCAGCTTATAGCCAATCCGTTATCGAATAAAGGTTGAGATTCCTTCAAGTAGTCTTGCAGCGCAGATCTCGCGTCTCGCAAGGAGGATAAAGCCTTCTTTTTAGACACGCTAAGGGATATATGTTTTAACTCGACACAAGGAGTATAAACCATCCTTATTAGTCGAGTAAGTAGAGCCCTATCCGCGTCTGGATTATCAGAATAGTTGATTTTGCTTGGGTGGAAGGCTTGAACAACCTGGAATGTATACGCCTCCCAGTTGACTGTACGGTATCGCTCCGATCTCGCGGCCGCAAAGGATGAGCCAAGAGCTTCCACGGATGGGCGCATAATGAATGGATATTTTGAATATTGTCCTTTGGGGCAACTCGCGCACTGGCAGGAAACAATAAGAGCTGGCTGTACTTCCCGTATAAACTCTTGTGTGAGCTTAACCACTTCGTTAATTTGCGTCTCCTTCAAACTTGACTTATCCCTAGAGTCCATCTGATCCATCCATTCTTGGCTGAAAATGGGGATAAGATCCCAGATTATAACATCGTCTATATCGATGCCGGTTCCTTCGAAGATTTCTGTGAGGTAGTGGATCGCGGACCCTTCTGCAGCCATCGTTTCGTACGGTCGTGTGTGGTTGTTGGATGGATTCTCCAGCAGCAAAAGAGGAGCTTTCCGATAGCCACACGCCAGCCTCACTAGGTTTTTTTCGACTTCATCCCCAAGGCTTTCCCGTCGTATAATGGCTCTTAATTTATTAAAAATAGGGTGACTCGGTTCGATTCGACTTGCGTCGGTCAAAATCGGCTTTAGGGTCTTCTCGACCAACGAAGATAGGGCATTTTCTCTCGATAGCTTGGTTTTGACACGATGGATCTTGAGATTTGACATAGATCCAACGAGATCATCGATTCCATTTCCGCTTTGTGAAGCCATCGGTCGGTATTCTGGTCCGATGCGTGGATGAAATAACTCTCAAGCAACAAGTGCTCCCGATCAACCCGTATTCTGCGAGCTGGGTTTGAAGTGCAAAAAAGAGCCTTGGAGCCATTATTTGTCCTTCCAGGCTACCTGGTTTACTGCGATGCAAGCTCGATGCAGGATATAGATAAATGGTTTAGGGTATAGATACTGAAGGCTTGCCGACAATAAGGTATGTAATAGAGTCGCTCACTTGTGCCCGTACAAACGGAGATAATTGTTGGATATAATCAGGGTTTTCAGCCTGCTCAGGGAGCATAACTTGGTATCATAGGAACCACGCAGGCGAACGAGCTTTAAGATAAACTTACTCTTTGCGCAACACTCTTCCTGGTGGTATGATACCCTTCTGTTTCGACGAGCACGGGAAGAGAGAATGGCACATATCTCGAGCGTCGGGCCTATAAATCTCACGCGGGAATTAGTTAGCCTCCATCGAACGGCTGAGAACATAACAAAGAGACGATACCTGAGTTTGTAGAACCATCACGGTCACAACAACCAATATCTTCCATGGTGGGTGTGTATTCATCGCATAGCTTATCTTCAACGAGGTGATCGTGATGACTTCTCATAACAACCTAGGAAATGATTAAAACAGCTGTAGCTACATGTTAGCAAAGGCTACTTTAAAGGAGGGAGGGCTGCACTAAACCCGCAGGACTAACATGGCCGAGCAAGCCGTTCGATGGCATTGAAGGAAGAGGCATACTTGTTCTTGGTCATTTTTCCACCCCAATCGGAGCTGGAGATTACGTGTTGGCGCCATGTACCGTGGTCCATCCTACTCTACCCAGGCTAGGTAGTCATACAGGCCTGCGCGCTTTCAAATAACTACCTTCTAGGTATTGGTTATATAGGGGAGGATGAGCTTAGCCTGGTTATAACCCGGGTTAGTATGCATGTTAGCGCCCTCCCCCCATATACCACTAGGGTTGACTCGGAAGCCAAAGGTCAGACTTCTTCGCATAGGACGGTGGGCATATACCAGGCTGCTGAGACTATATACCCTTCCTCGTGTCACATCAGAAGGGAGAAAAAGCCGGGAGGAAGAAAAATGGGCGACATTAAGGATCAGGTCCCCGATATCTTAGAGGATGTGCAGCAGCGACCAAACCAAGCAGAGGAAAAAGGCGAAAGGGAGGAAGTCATCGATGAATCGAAATACATGAAAGGCTGGAAGTTGTATATGCTGACTCTCGGGTAAGAAATTTTACTAGTTTCGCCATTTCTTGTTCAATATATCTAAGGCTGGAGGCCAGCTTTTGGATTGCACTCTTCTTGTCGACCTTGGAAACAACCATTGTTAGCACCTCTCTTGTTGCTATTACAGACTCGCTCAGAGGATTCGATATTCGCAATTGGATAGTGACGGCGTATTTCTTAACCTACACCGGTATTTACAGTACTCCTTACTTAGCTCAGTATATAGCTAACTCGCCAACTCTAGGCTTTCTCATCATCTATGCGAAGCTTAGTAGCATATTCGGTCAGAAGACTATGATGCTCTTAGCCCTTAGCACCTTCACCGTTTTCTCTATTGGATGTGGAGTGACAAATGATATTACCACACTGTATGGCCTCTGGATATAACAACCCTCTGTCTCTATATCCCGTGCTGACTAGAATGTGGAATACAGGATCATCCTACGCTCTTTCCAAGGGGTGGGAGCCTCTGGTATATACTCTATGGTGCTAGTTTTTGCGCCGTCCCTTGTGCCTAAGCGGGAATACGGTAAATTTATCGGCATTATATCCTCAGTCTTCGTTCTTGCCAGTGTCCTTGGCCCTATTCTAGGGGGGATCATTGCCACCCATTCCACCTGGCGATGGGTTTTTCTACTAAAGTAAGAGAGGATTCATTTGGGATTATATAGTTAAGAAAAAAGCTAACTGTTTAGCGCACCTGGGGGTGCAATATCGATCATTCTTATCGCTATATTCCTTCCAGCAAGTAAACACGATATCCCGATCAGCTTACACAACCGCATTTGCAACAAATTGGCCCTAAATAATTTGAAAAGAGTGGATATACTCGGTGCTTTCCTTCTTCTAGTTGCCTCAATCTTATTTGTTTTCGCTCTACAGGAGGGAGGGTCAAGCTTTCCATGGCGAAGTACAGCGATTATCTGCGCATTTACAACCTCAGGTATTGCGTGGGTTGCATTTATTCTGGTGGAGATTCGGCTGGAGAATTCGCCCTCACTGCAAGAGCCAATTTTCCCAATACGGTTACTTAAGAACCGTGTTGTCGCTGGCATGATGATGTTTGTTTATTCCCTACTCGTCTCAAATCCCTAGTTAGCTGGATATCATGCTAATTCTCCGTTATTTAGTACGACATTTCTAATTGGTTTCCCTTTTGTTGCTATTGTCACAAATATACCCCAAAGGTCACAAGCAGTCAACGGCTTTTCAGCGGTGAGAGCCGGGCTTACCTTACTTCCACTTCTACTCTCCTCCCCATTTGCAACAACTTTATCCGGCGTCCTCACATCAAAGTTCAAAGTGCCCCCTATCTATATTATATTTATTGGAGCAATTCTACAGGTCCTGGGTGTAGGACTAACAATTACTTTACCAGACCACGGTGGAGAAATTTCAGCGCTGCAGTATGTATATGAGACGATCATGGGTATCGGATTTGGTTTTACCCTTACTACTATATTAACTCTGGCCCAGTTGGTTGTAGAGGAGCAGGAGGCAGGTATGTAACCCTTATACCTTTCCCCATTTATAGCTTGCTAACATTTTGATAGGGTTGGTTATGGGAGCCCTTACCCAGGTGAGGGTGTTAGGCGGTACAATTTCTGTTGCTATATGGTAAGTATCTCGTTCAAGGTCACAATATCAGTTCCTAACAGGTAGGATAATAGCTCGACAGCCCTGAGTAGTTACCTAGCTCCAAGGCTTGCAGTTATAATTACACCTGCCGAGCTCAAGGCCATCGCTGATAGCCTCTCAGCTATTAATAACTTGACCTCTATGCAGAAAGACGCTGTTCGAAATGAGTTTGCGCATGGGTATAATCGTCAGATGGGCCTATTAACTGTGTTCAGTGGGCTTGCGTTATTAGCGACTCTTTTGCTATGGGAGAGAAAACCTCGTGTGGTTGTCTAGAAGGATCTTATATACAGGGTATTCTCCATGTTATAAAGAGGGTACTTGGAACCACCCCTTGAGCACTGGCTAGTATATAGCTCTTATAGGTGTAGGTTAGTTTGTTATAACTTGGCCCCCAGATAACCCGGTTATACAGAGGCTTCTGTACGCAAAGACCCCTAATAAACTGGTTATTTAGCCACTTGGCGAGGAGTAGGTTAAGCTCAGGTTAATTTTAGTAAGGGAGAGCTTGGCCAATAAAAGTACCCTTTTATATTTCTCTTCTCCCTGTACTCTCTGTACTCTACCTCTTATTCTCTTTTATCATGGAGTTAAAAGGGATAAGACTAAACAAGTTATGCCGGGTAACCTTGGAACCGTTAGGTAAACAGGCAGCACATCCTCAACGGAGGCGAGTGAACCGTTTTTTCATCTCCTGGAAAGCTTTAAACCAAGGTTCGCTTCCGTGACCATCCGCCAACACTCTTATAAGAGGTGATTCATCCAAGCACACAGTGTAAAGAATCATTGAAATGTGTCAAGTATAACCAGTCCATCTGCCGCCAATCAGCGCGGGCTCGCCTTTTTGGCCAAACGGCAGATTTTGACACAATGTTATCTTCAACCGCGTTGGCATTCGCCTCCCCCGTTGGGGGCTTTGGCAACGCGCCTCTGTGGTTTCGACCCTCGCGTGACGGGCGGTTACGCTCCTCGAGGGGTTCAAGCGAAGATAATGATGAGCCACCACCATCTGACGGCTGGGTTGATCAAGATTTAAGGGCTGGTGGACCAACCCTGGCACCATCGCCCAGTATCTCGATTTATTACCCTTCCGCTAATAGTCCATATCGATCAATGATGGATGCAAAGTCGGACCTAAGCAAGAGTATTCTTACTGTCCTCCACGGATCCAAGGTCAAAGTCAAGACCTTTCTCTTCTGCTGTCGTCGATGTGTATACTTCCCGGATGATGACCCAATTCCCACACTTCTCGTGGATGCTGAGCGAGAGTTTCGTGATGACCAGTGGCTTCCCGTTTGCAAGGCCCTCCATAATCTTCTCCAAACCAACAATCTCACTATCTTCAATGTCGAGATATGCGACGACAGATTGAACTTAACTAGATACCCTTCACCTGTTCCATCGTCGGATCCCATATATCCTTTATGGGAGGAAGTTCTCAATCAAATACTAACTAGTATTGATTGTTCCCATGTCCTCACTATAGACTGTTTCCGATTTGGACAGAGAAATAACCAAAATGGGGATCCAACCACGATTATTATCACAGTGGAGCCAAAGACAAGTTTCTACTCCTGGAGAGGCTCCCGGGAAACAATAATCTCTATACTTAATACCTACAATCTTCAACATGTTAGCGTTCTAATTACACAGGGCCTAGTTTATCGAGGGAAAGATAATAGCCTAGATCGCGGCTTGCCAAATACTTCTTGGCAAGATCATCTCCAAGTAGGATTAAGCCTTGGGGTCTACCAATCCAAGCACTCTGCATCAACCTTTGGCGGATGGGTAGAAATCCAGCAGCAAGAAGGGTCCAGTTGGCAAAAGTTAGGGCTAACCTGTTTTCATTGCGTTATCCCCGGTTTGGATGACCTATCTCCTAATCACAAGGCGGGTAAGGGACTGTTGTTCGGATATTCTTCATACAATATTCTACTAACATTTGTACTCTTGTTAGCTCTCTGTAAATCATTCCGAACAGGCATTCCGCTTGATGATCCAATCAAGCAATTTTTGAAGGTTGAACAGCCCAGTTTAAAAGATACAACGATAGCTCTCAACAAAATATCGGCATCGCTCAACGAGCCCCACGATTCCCGATTCGTGGCACTCAAAGACTTGATGGAGAAAGGTGGGGATATAAGCCCACACTCCCGCCAACGATATGACAAAGCTATAGCCAGGGTTGCTGCTTTATCGGCATTAAAATTGAAAGCCGAAGAGTTTCATAAACCTCGCCTGCTATGTGATGACTTGCTTTCATCATCTCTACCAATAAATCCGCGGTTTGGGAGAGCACCGATAGACGGCAATAGTCAATCTTATGCAGGATACGTATACGCAGCTTCCGGATACCGTCAATTCAGAGGCCAAGGAGGTCTGAAACAAGCGGATTGGGCACTCATTGATGTGCCAGAGATTAGACATTCAACTAATGAGGTAAGTTTATGTACTCAACGCTGTATAGCCATATCATTGACGCCGTATTAGCTCTCAACTTATGGAGAGATAAACTACGCCGATTTCCCACCACTAGAACCCTTCCCTGGCATTCCAGAAGAAACCACCAAGCTTTTCAAGCTAGGAAGGTCAACGGAAATCACTCAAGGGTTCTTCTCAGGTCTCAGGAGTGCCCATCTTAACGTGCCCGACGGTAGAGGTGGTACGTCCGAGGTGCCGGCCTTCGAGTACTCAGTAACTAGTGCATCATCGTATATATATTCTCAGATCCTGGCGACTCGGGTGCTCCAGTTTTCGACTCTCACTCAAATTGCATTGGCATGATCTTCGCTAGAAATCCAGTTTCAAGGGCCTCCTATATTACATTACTACCAGACCTCTTCGGTGACATCAAAACTATCACTGGAGCGGCTGATGTGCGTATTGCTGAATCGACTTGATCGTAAGGCTGAAGCGTCCAAAGCTCCTAGTATTTTCCTCGGCTATTCCTTAACAGTGTTTGAAGATCGCTAGAATGTGCAAGGAATACCCTCTCAAGATACGAACAACAGAATGAATTAACTCTCCAGCTTTTTTTTAACTTTGTGAGAAAAAAGAAAAGAGATGCTTGTTGTTACCCCTATTCCTTGAAACCAGTGTTCTCAGAACAGTCTCAGTCCTCCTATTCGATGGGCGCTGGGAACCAACCGTAGCGCATTATCTGAGGCAGCTTGTGAGCATGTATGTAACACCTAACTAATCGGCTGCTTTATACCGACCGTATGCTTTTTCTTGCCATAACTAATTGCTTATTCTGGTACCTCCTGCTGTTAGGAATACGAGAGTATTCCCTATTCTAACCCTGTATAGATGTTGATATGATCTATCGCCAGCCCAGGTCTAAATTTTGTGGCAGGCTCAATCTCAATTTCGCGATATGCCGTTCAATTCAGCCGCGCCTCACGTCGTTATAAAGTCGGCGTTGGACTTCATAGCCTGAATGTATAATTCTCTAATTCGACAAAGGGCCACGGACGCAGTCATGTCAAAAACGCCTACCAAGCCGTGGCTGCTGGAGGCGCGGTCCTCAGAAGCGTTTATCGTGCTAGTTGTCTCTATCGCTATTTTCGTTGTAAGTATCGCAAGTCAAGGCCGCGAAAGATAAGAAAGGACATTAATATTCTAATTTGTTTCATAGGATGTATTTCTCTATAGCATGGTATGCGATGGCAAGACGATGGGTTATATCGCAAGGGTATAGGCCGCTTACATGTGCTGTAGATAGTACCCATCATCCCAAAAGCCCTTGTCAACCGCATCGGAGTATCGCCTGATGATGGTGCGTACGGAGAGAAGCATTGGATTCGTGTCTTTGTGTGCTGTTTATATGATGAACATATTGAGCTGACCTATATAGCCCAAACCTGGATGTCTGTCCTTCTCGCTACCTATGGAGGAACTCTTCTAATAGGATCCCGTAAGTCAACCCTCTTTGTATATTTCCTATTTTAAAGTCCAACTGCTAACTAGGAATAATAGCAATCTTCGGGTACGTTGCGGATCGGACCAAATCTCCCAAAGGCCCATTCATCGCTGGCCTGTTTGCTCTGGCCCTATCGACGGCACTATTCATGCTAGCCAGGTCTCCTGTTCTGTTCGTAATTGCCAGAGGTCTCCAAGGCCTCTCTGGCGCTGCCGTCTGGGTCGCTGGACTGGCTCTGGTCGTTGATACTGTGGCTGAGGACAGAGTTGGAGAGGCTATGGGCTACACAACCATGGGCATGAGTGTAGGATCCTTATTAGGCCCAGCCGCTGGAGGTGTTTTGTACGACAAGCTTGGTTTCTATGGAGCTTTTTACGTGCCGATTGCACTGATCGTTTTGGATATTATCTTGCGATTGGTAATGATTGAGCCAAATGGTACGGCTGTTTCTATCCTTCAACTCTTTTCATGGATGGGCTGCTTACAGTAAATCCCAGCTTCGAGGCAGTGGAAGGAGGAAGGAAGCGACGAGCATTCACCGTTACTTCAGCCCCCGGAATCCGTTGCTGCTGACGGTACAAGTGACCCAAAGAAAGCGTTCCAGCTATTTCATCTTCTGGGCCAACGACGTCTACTTGTAGCTTTACTAGCAGGCCTTGTCGGTGCGCTGACATTCTCTGCGTTTGAAACGGTACTGAAAATTATATCTCTCTTTCCCTGTCGAGCAATGGAAGCCCCTGCTAATATTCACAGACCCTCCCACTGTTCTTGATTGAGTCCTTCCACTGGTCTTCCAGCAGTATAGGGCTGGTATTCTTGATCATGGCCATTCCTGGAATGGGCGGCGCCCTTGTCGGAAAGGTCGTGGATAGATATGGCCCACGTATATCTGGAACTGTTGCATTCATAGTTGGAGGCGCAACCTTGGTTCCCCTCCGTTTCGTTCAGCACCCGATCATGGCAGAATACGCTCTTATGATCAGTCTTTTAGGCATAAACGGCCTAGCCATCAGCGCATCTTCCCTGGCCGCGATGTCAGAAGTGTTTGAAGTCGTTTACAGCCCCCAACCAAGTGCTTCTGGCGGTGTGAATCCTGTTGCCCAGGGGTATGCCTTATTCAACATGGCCTTTGCTGGTGGGCAGCTTCTTGGGCCGATTCTAGGAGGTGTTCTGAAGGAGAGTGCCGGGTGGAAGACTATGACGCTGGTTATTGCGTTGGTGACGGGTGCAACGGGTATCATTACTGCGCTCTACGCAGGCGATCAGCCACCCGAGGACCAAATATTTGGGCCAGATGAGGTTACGCCCGTCTAGAGAGCCGGGAGCAGTAGGTAACGTGCATCTGGTTATCTGTGTTATATTATTCAAAAAGAGGTGGTGATAGAATCAATGTAAGATATGAGCCTGCTTGTCTATATGCTTCCTCTAGAGCCCCATTCTGTCAATATCCAGCGTATATAACAAGTGATCCCTGAGTTCAGCCGTCTATTTCCCATAGTTATGCATGTCCTTTTATACCACCGTATAACTGACCCTGGATGTGCCTTTGCTTCTTGATACCTTCTTCACCGTCGTCTGTCCGCACAGGTCCGTCGTATCGACATGAGTTCCGCCACACGGATACACCTCTGCCCCTACGATGTTGACCACCCGAGACTTCTCGCCTGGAGGCACCAGGCTGGGATCTGGTATCAGTCTCTCCAGCCCTCTGGACCGGAAATCGTCTTCATCCCACCACTCAATCTCCACCGGCATGCCCGCAGCGATAAACTCGTCCACCTTCTCTTGGATCGGTGTCTTCCACTTCCCTTCAATAAGGCCTTGGAACTCACAGGCCGCCGAGTCAGGGAAATGCGAAGCCTTCAGCTCGTTGAATCCATCCACTTCCTTTTCCACAAGATGCTTGACCGCGGCACCCAGGACGTGGCCAGCGGTATGAAGCCGTGAGTACAGCAGACGCTTTTCCACGTCGATTTCCTGCTGTACGGTATCGCCTACTGCAAAGGGAGCTGCATTGAACCGCCCGAAGTGCAGTACCTGTCCGTCCTGAAGGGCGTCCATCCGGACTGAGGCGACGGTGAAGCAAGAGCCAGAGGGAGAGAAGGTGATGGTGCCTATGTCAGAGGGCTGGCCGCCGCCCTGGGGGTGGAAGACGGTCTCCTCAGTGACCACAACATGGTCTTCATCGCTGCCTTGCTTGAAGAGCTGGCGGTTGGGTTCTTCGAGCGAGGTGAATGTTCGTATGGCGGCAACGACGGTCTGCAGGGTATACAGCTTTGCATTATGCTGGAATGCGAGGAATGTGCGGGCCATTATCGCGATGATAGAGTCGAATATCTGGCTAGACGGTGTTTCTATTTACTCAGATGGCTAAAGAACAGTCATAAATACTAGGCCGCCGCTGAATACGAGGCATCTTTCTACTGTCACAGCTTACAAACAGACCCGCATCGATGGAGAATTTGCACATCCATGAAGGAAATGAATTAATACGTCTATTAAGTAGTTATTCGTCGGTATTATCACGAAAGAACAGAGACCACAGTTTGCCTGTTACTCAGATTCCTGCATGATGTTTCATCTCAAGGTGGCTCGGATGTGGCTGAGTGCATCGATCAAGGTATCAAGGCAGGCAGACAACTCCAGCACAGCCATCTGACATCGCCCGTCTCATGAAGAACAGGATGCGATGCGATGTGTCCTTGGGCATGACAAGGATGATATTCACTTATATATGGGTGACTCTCGCTTTGACGGGTGACTGGATCATCTGGACGAGCGGCTCGCTTCGACTCGACTTTTAACTACCATCGACTATCCAAAGTTCCCAGAGGAATAAACAGCATCTATAACTACTCTTATACGAGCAAGCTGAGGCGGTGACAATGTCCCATATCCGTCATTGTCCCGAATTCCAGCTCGCCCGGTCTGATTCCAAAAACCCAGAGACGACCTGTCAAGGGCTGACGTCCGGTGGCAGAAGATGTCGGCGAACAGTGAAAGCTGCATCGAAAAGACAGAATACCAAGCAAGGGGACGGCGGCAAGGCAGATCATATCACGATAGAAGTGCCAGGGGGCATGTTTTGCTGGCAACATAAGGGTCAGAGTGAAACACCGTCATCGCCTATAAAACTCAGGACTTCAAGGCTCAAAACGAGATCTAGTCTGGACACTCTCATCGAGAGAGTAGGGGTGTTATCCGTCGATGAAGTGCGGCCTGTACACGGCAGTACGGCCGTGCCTGAGATCGATATAAATAAGGATTGTGGACGCCGTTCAAATCACAGCAGTGGCATGAGGAAACCAGAGCCAGTGGCTGGTGTAGCTACTCTGCATGTCCCAAATAGGCCAAAGAGCAAGTCAAAACGACGAATGAAGTTTGTTTGTTTCTTTGCTCCTATTGACGGCGATGATGAGAATCATGCTATACGTGTGAAACCGTCCAGGCACAGTTCGCACATCCACCCCATACCAGAAGTCCAGGACCCGATTCCATACTCTCCGCTGAACGCTGGCCGTCGGCCTGCAAGACCTGGCAAAGAACCAGCCTCCGGCCACAGGCTGGGCTGGGGGAAGAAGCCTCTGCCGCCTCCTGATCCAGCATCATTACGAAACCATCAAGCCTTGAGCTCTTCTGCTCCTACGCGGCCTGGTCAATCCCAGACAGAGTATCTTCTTTCGTGGATACCATCTAACCTATCACCGGAGACAACTTCAAAGTTACTCCGGAAACTCGCTGAGCCTTTATCCGCAGCCGAAGAAGCGGGATACATCTACATATACTGCGTGACACCCGGTGATTCACGCCCACGAGCAGACGAAACTGCTTCCTTAATACCCTCCTCACCCGACCGACGTGATGCCGGAAGAAGGCGTACAAGCGACGTCATGTCCTCTGCAGGCATCGCTCCCACATCCCGGATCACAAAGCACGACCCAGACGGCAGCCGGACAGCAAACACTATAACGTTGAAGATTGGGCGTGCCGTCAACGTCTGCCGTCGATTGACCCAACAGTGCTCTCATAACCTCACGCTAATTCGTTATTATCCTTACCACCCCTCGTCTGGAACTGCATCCTTGAATATTCTCCCCCAGAAGGCCCCGAACGTGCATAGGTTGGAGAGACTGGTACATCTCGAGCTGGCTGATATAAGGGTAAAACCCGGGAAACCGTGTGTGGAGTGTGGGAAGAAACACCAGGAGTATTTTGAGGTTGAGGCGAGCAGAGAACATCTCAGGAGGGTGGATGAGTGTGTGAAGCGGTGGGTTAAGTACAGCCAGCTCAATCCGACGAGCTGACATGCTACCTATATCGTGTACCATATATTTTCAATACACATACTACTGATGACCGACACGAGCTGGTGTGGAGATGTAATATATCAATTATTAATATGCCATATTTACTCCGGACTGTAGCTGACATGGTCCTTCGTATATTTATACCAACCCCGCGACTGATACACGGAGTACCTAACGCAAGCCAAACCATCCATAATTTATCTCCGTCATAGAAGAAAAAAATGGAGGGACGTTGCCAGTGCTCGCAAATCCGCTTTACGACTCCTCTTCCCGAGCCTCTGAAGCTGTACATCTGCCACTGCACCGAATGTCGACACCAGTCCTCATCTACGTATGGAATGACAGCCATCTTCCCTACGTTCGACATCCCCGCCTCCTCGCCCGGTCAGATCGGCGTATACACTCGTCCAACGAACTCAGGACGCCAGCTTGACTGTCTGTTCTGTACAAACTGCGGGAGTCGTCTGTTACATCGGCCGCGCGGAGGAGAGACGCTCAGCGTCAAGGCTGGCTGTCTAGTCGCACTCAACAAGGAGATGATGAAAGACGCAGTGCATATCTGGTGCAAGGAGGCTGTCGTGGAGATCCCAGAGGGTGTCGAGCGCTGGGAAGGAGAACCTGGAGGCGGCTCGTTTTCTTGATGTATGTTGATGTTGGCGAAAGGTTGATGGTTGTTGGTTATGACGTCGACGTTGCCAGCCAGAACAAGATAAATATAACATCTCCAGCTCATCCACTTGATGCACCATCCATGCTTCTTCCTTGTCCATAACAGACGGCGTCTCCTGTATAATATCGCTTTATCGAAGAGCACCTGGTAGAAACAGATATAATACCTCCACCATGGGTCCTCCTCCAAACACCGCCTCGCGTCCAAGATCATACATATCTTCCATCATCAGCTCAATTATCAACATCGCCAAAGCACTCGTCATCAACGCCTATAAAGCCCTCTATGCATCCCTAGATGCTCTCATCCCACCCCCCAAACGTGCAGAGATCAGGTCCAGGCTCGCTGCCTTCGCTCGGGAGCGTCCAATTCTCGCCTCCTTCTTAGCCTCCCAGGCCGTCTTCTGTGGAATTCCCCTCGTCCTGTTCGTGCTACAAGCCATAAGCGTGTTTATTTTCGCTTTCACTACCGCTCTGGTTCTTGCTTCGCTTTGTGCCATCACCTTTACGGCTATATGTACTGGGCTGGCCTTGCTTGTGCTTGTGCCCGTCCTAGCTGTCACGACCTTTGTGGGTGCTTCGGTTTGGTTCTGGGGATGGGTAGGATGGTGGGCTTTGGTCTCCTTTGGTATCGTGCAGACGGAGTCTCCGTCGAAGAGAGCCAGTGCCGTGAAGGCAGAAGAGCATATACCTGCTGGAAGCCAGACGAGGGTCGATGGCTTCAACGGGGTCAAGAGCCATAAGGATGGGTTCCCGGCTGGCATATCTACTTGAACGAAGCTCATACCCAGCAGGTATATCTTAAGGACCAATGAAATTGCCTAAAAGCCTAAGAGCTGGAGGATTAGGACATCCTTTAATGGACGGGTGTTTTTTCATTCACAAAGTTAACGAAATGGAATGGATATTCCTACTTATGACGGTTTCGGTGTACTTTTAACATCTCATTCTCTGTAATTAACTATTAACCATTCAGACATACGTAATAACATTACTTTCGGTTGCATGAAGTGTTGACAAGGATATAGCTACAGTGGTATCGAAGCGCTTTGAAGTAGCGTTCTCTTACTATAGGCTATGGATATCTCATATTGTTGCTCTATCAATCACCAATTTTAAGGATCCGCCAAGTTTCCTAATGTCCCAAAGAAATTTCTGTAGAGGGGAATTGGTCTATAATAGGAGTGTAGTCACCCGGCTTAGTACTTAGGTTTCTTAGTATGTCATGGTAGAAGCATGAGGCAAGAAAAGATGTGCATTTTTGCATATGTAGAGAACTCTGGCACTCTGCACATTAACCCAGGTTTTGATTTAGCAGGGCTATAGTCTTCTCACGAAGATCACCAAGCTCAATTTCCAGTGCTTCATTGCGATCCAACGTCTCCTGCAGACAGTCAGCAAGCTTCACAGACAGCTCATCTCCCTGGCTCCTGTCAGATAGCATACCGATGGTATCCTTCCAATTTTCCAGATACACTGAGCTCTGCCTATGAAGAGCATTAATCATCGAATCCTTTAGTTGCAGCTTTGCGCGGCACTCGATTAACTCGTTCTTGAATTTCAGCTTGCTTGCCGACCATTCATTAAGAGCAATCGAAAGGCGATCATTTAGATGGCTTTCCTTGTCTCGAGCTTGTAACAGGGACTTTTGATAATAAGCCAGAGAAAGGCGGGTGTCATCTAACTTGGACGAATATTTCGCATTGAACGACTCCATATCGTCAAGCTGCCCTTCTAACTTGGCATTGTCCACTTGTAGTTTCTTGAGTTTTGCATCTCGCTCGGCTAACTGAGCATGTAGCTGGTTTAACTCTTGGTGTTGAGTTTCGACTTTCTCTTTCAACTCTTGGTTGACTTCAAGGGCCTGTTGGAAATCGTGGTGCATCGAGAATTCAGTCAACTTTTTAGATGGCTGTCGTATCTTCATGACGATTTTGCGAAGGATCGCCAGTTCCTTTGCAGTTTTCATATTTTCTTCCTTCGCCTTGTCAAGGTATGACTTCGTAACTTCACATGCCTGAGTAAGTTCTGTGACAGCATCCAGACAGTTGGATTTAATTACTTTCACTTCTTTGTACTGGTTGTCGATAATGTCCTGGATAAGGCCCATCTCGCGCTGGAGGGTTTTATTGATTGCCTCCAGACGAGAGTTATCCTCTGTCAAAGATGAAGCGCGAGAGCGTTGTTTCTCCCTCCCTTTGATCGCCGTCACAAATTTGGTTTGCCAGAACATCTTTTCACTAAGCAGTGTGTTTCTTTCATGGGCAATATACTGGATTTCGTCATCAAATTCATCTTGGAGAGCAGCCAGGTCGTTAAGTCTGTTTTGCTCTGCATTCTCGAGAAGGAAGTCCACTTCCCTGGATGGAATCATCTCCTCCTCTTCATCTTCCTCGTCGTCCTCGTCGTCACTCTCATCGTCATATCCTTCATCATCTGCATCGTCATCTCCATGGCTTTCCTTGGTCTCCGAGCTGGCATCTGTACCTGTCCTAACATCGGCCTCGACCTTGACACAGACATCTGTATCCAAGCCCAAAGCCGCCTCTATTCCGGCCTCTTCTTGCTCTTCGGTTTCTTCGGACTCTCGACCTCCTTCAGTTTCTCGGTGGCAATCCTCTCCTGGCAGTCCAAATACATCATCTTCGCTAGTTTGTTCAACAACCGAAAGATTGGTAGGCGATCCTTCCTCGAGCTGTTCAGCCGGCCGCTCTTCGCTAGGTGCGGTCGAACAGGCCCTATCTGGGGGTGAGAAGGTTGATACCATTGTGCTATCACCGTTATTTGCTGACGAACTAGCAGTGGAGAGCGCAGGGGTAGATAGAACATCCCCGAGGCGATGATCCTCAGGTGAAATTTCAACGTTCTTCCGATGAAGCATGGGTGTATCCCTCACGGTGGAGCCCTGCTTCTATCAGTTATGTTAGAATGCTAACCTCACTGCGCAGCAGTGTGGAAATAAAACTTACCTGGGTACCGTTGCTGGGCTTCCGCAACTTGGTAGAGTTAGGAGAAATTTTGGACTTTATCCGGCTGACGAATGACCGAACAGTGGGCGTGCGGGTTGTGCGGGGAGATGATGCCCAGTAGTACCACTATAGTTGTTAAGAAAACTACTTCAGGTTTCTTTTTATAATAACTGGGTTTAGCGCATACCTTCTCACGGTGGTCTCCGGGAATGGCGTGAGGGCTCACAGAGCCTGGAAGTCCCATAGCAGAACAAAAGCCAGCGTGAAGCCCCTTTCAGCGGCTTGAATATCCAGTATGAAGTGAATAAGGTAAGTAATTATTAGGTGGGCGGATCAAGGCGGTGGTGAATTAGGATTGTGTTGGAGTTTGTAGGATAGTTTGCTTAAGGAAAAATAGGTGAGTGTATACGCAAAAAAAAAAACAAGAAATATCCAGGCCTCAGGCCAGGCTATTAAGTATCCCCTCTGGACATGGCATAATCCATAGTTTTCCATAGAACTGACGGAATGTTTCGAGCAGCTTTCAACTGATTCACTTGTGGAACAGTTGCTGACAGAATCAATGCCTTTGTTGCAGGAGTCTAGAAAAAGGTATCAAACAACGGACGGTGTCAACAAGCCAGAAGGGTTGGAATAGTTCAAACAAGGTCCAAATCGCATTGTTTGATAGCATATTCAGGCACCACCACTATGGTTTCTTTGGGTATAAAGAAATCACTAGAAATCTGGTCATGAGGCTCTTGATATTTTAGGTATCAGTGATGATCCATCTTATTGCAGTAGATCCACAATAGCATATCATAGAACAGCGCTGCCATAGTCTCTTATATCATTGAAAGGATACAGCATCTTAAAGAGCCCATCCGTTGCGAGCGTGACAGTCACCGGCGCGCAGGCCAGCACCGTATCATAGCATAGCGGCAAGTACTCCATCGTAGATACCTCCAGCATGGATATCTCTTCGTAGGTCTCTGCTGTAGACGTCTCTGTCTCTCGTGTTTGTTGTTGTAGCCGTTGAAGTTGGCGTTGAAAGAAGAAAAGAGTCGCGTGTGTCTTAGTCAGCAAGATGCGACCAGAGTGTCCTCAAAGCGTTTAGTCCTTTTTCGTCCACAAAAACATCCAAAGAGAAGAACTTCGAACTTCTTCAGCCACCTTGTCGTCTCTCTCTTTAACCCCCTTCCTCCTCTTCCCTTTTATTTCCTCTTTTACCGGTTGTCTGGTTTTGTCTATAAAACCGCTTTAATCCCCTCTTCTCCCTTTCTTGTTCAGTCGGGGGAAAACAAAGACAACCGCCACCATGAGCGGCCGTAAGTCCAACACCATCGCCAGATCACAATTGAGGCCATGCCAGCTGTGTATAGGTTTAAACACCGCTTACTGACAGATTTAGTACGCTTCCTCGATCTGATCAAACCCTTTATGCCCCTCCTCCCGGAGGTGGCTGCCCCCGAGACCAAGGTCCCGTTCAACCAGAAGGCTATGTGGACTGGAGTACGTTGAATCATCATCTAACGGCGCGAAAAAGGTGCAATTGGGCTCTGGCTGATGGCTATATTATACAGTTGACCCTACTTATATTCTTGGTCATGAGTCAAATGCCTCTGTACGGAATCGTATCCTCCGACACTTCAGATCCCCTATACTGGCTGCGTATGATGTTAGCCTCTAACAGAGGAACCCTGATGGAGTTGGGTATCACCCCAATTATCTCCTCCGGCATGGTCTTCCAGGTAACATTTCCCCTTCTGCGCCTTCTCATCTATGCTTTGTTTATTCTAACTGGATCTTTAGCTCCTTGCTGGAACCCAACTCATCGATGTCAACCTCGACCTCAAAACCGATCGCGAGCTGTACCAGACCGCACAGAAGCTCTTTGCTATCATTTTGTCCTTTGGTCAAGCTTGTGTCTACGTCCTTACTGGCCTTTATGGTCAACCCAGCGACTTGGGAGCTGGTGTCTGTGTCCTTTTGATTGTTCAGCTTGTTGTTGCCGGACTTGTCGTTATTCTCCTTGACGAGCTCTTGCAGAAGGGTTACGGTCTTGGAAGCGGTATCTCGCTCTTCATTGCCACCAACATTTGCGAGTCCATCATCTGGAAAGCCTTCTCTCCTACCACCATCAACACTGGTCGTGGACCCGAGTTCGAAGGAGCTGTCATTGCCCTCTTCCACCTCTTGCTCACCTGGCCCGATAAGCAGCGTGCTCTCTATGAAGCTTTCTACCGTCAGAACCTCCCTAACATCATGAACCTTATTGCTACCCTCGTCGTTTTTGCCGCTGTTATCTATCTTCAAGGCTTCCGCGTCGAAATCCCAGTCAAGTCCTCTCGTCAACGTGGTGTTCGTGGATCCTACCCCGTCCGTCTCTTCTACACCTCGAACATGCCGATCATGTTGCAATCTGCCCTTTGCTCCAACGTCTTCTTGGTCAGTCAGATGCTGTACTCTCGCTTCTCCGACAACATCCTTGTCAAACTTCTTGGTGTTTGGGAACCTCGTGAGGGTGGCTCTGCTCAACTCTATGCTTCCTCTGGTATTGCCTACTATATGTCTCCTCCATTCAACTTCAAGGAAGCCCTCTTGGACCCTGTCCACACCGTTTGCTATCTCATTTTCATGTTGGTCGCCTGTGCTCTTTTCTCTAAGACCTGGATCGAAGTTTCCGGCTCTGCTCCAAGGGATGTCGCCAAACAGCTCAAGGACCAAGGATTGGTTATGGCTGGCCACCGTGAACAAAGCATGTACAAGGAACTCAAGAGAATTATCCCTACAGCTGCCGCTTTTGGTGGTGCTTGTATCGGCGCATTGTCGGTGGCCAGTGACCTTATGGGAGCTCTTGGAAGTGGAACCGGTATTCTTCTCGCAGTAACGTATGATACACCTCTCCATGACAAGTTTCGTAATCCTATACAGCTACTAACAATATATAGGATCATCTACGGCTACTTCGAAATCGCCGCACGGGAAGGTGACTTCGGTGCTGGTCTCAAAGGTCTAGTCCCTGGTAACTAAGACCGAACATAATCTTTTCTATAACGGCTCAGCAAGCTCTGGATGCCGCTTTGCAAGCATTTATTACTTAAATATTTTGATTTGTATTATCAGCAATGTCGAGTGGTCTTCTTTCTATATTTCTTGGGACGGGAAGATGACTGGGCGCGAATTGTCATTTACAGGCAAAAATAAAATCCAAAGGAACCATGAGGCGTGGGTTGAGATAATTTACAAGCCGATCCCTTTGCTCTTTGTCTTTTTATTGCTAGCACGTTTGATTGGGCCTTCCCTCCTCGCTCTTCCATACCAAAAAGCAGGTGGTCCAAAAAAAAAAAGCCCGATAGTAGGTTCTCTAATCTGTATATATAATAAACGCCTGTTAATTTGATTATTCTCTATATTATATATTCTCGGATATTTCATCTTTCCTTGCAGTAATTCTAAAATGGAGGTGAATTCATCATTTCGAATTGAACCTGTAGCTGCTATATCATGTTCTGTAGTCTCCATTGATAGTTACGTATTCATGGCTGAAATCACAGAACCAATAAATTGCATCTTCACCGCCCCTACCAGCCTCTCCACTAGCTCCACCTCCTAGATCCACAACGATCTCAAGATCCTCATGTTGCAAGATGGAGGAGGCTCGCCCCTCGTCTACAGATTCTGGCTCCCCATTTACCAGTAGCTTGAGCTCAGCACTTCCATCAGCAGGTTTAAAGCTCACGCTAGTCCTCTCCGGTACAACCGTGCCAGGAGTAAGGTCTGGCGTATATCCAACTGCGCAAAGGATACGTCCCCAATTGGCGTCCTTGCCATATAATGCGGTCTTCACCAGTGGGGAACGAGCAATTGTTGAGGCAATGCATTTGGCATCGGTGTAAGAAGGCGAATTCTTAACGCGAACAGTCACGAACTTGGTAGCCCCCTCGCCATCACGGACAACTAGTTGAGCTAAAGATTGCGTGAACTGCGTTAGAATCGATTGCATGGCGGTATAATCTTTTGAACCGGTCGAGGAGATGGGCGTTCCTCCCGCCGCGCCATTGGCGAGAATAGCTACCGTATCGTTGGTGCTGGTATCGCCGTCCACGGATATGGAGTTGAAAGACCGAGATATAGAGTGAGAAAGAAGTGATTGCAAAACAGGAGCTTCGATGGGTGCATCGGTACAAATTATACCTAGAAGTGTAGCCATATTTGGATGAATCATGCCGGCACCCTTGGTCATTCCCGCAATGCTGTATGTACGGTCCGGTGAGGACGGTAGGCTAAAGCTTCTAGAGGTGAGTTTTGGGAACGTATCGGTAGTGCAGATGGCTCGAGCTGTACGTAACCATGCCGCATGTGTAGACGCAAGGTTGGATTGTGCTTCAGGGACCTTGTTGAGGATTCTCTCAATAGGTAATCTGGATGAAGAATAGGGTGAGCTTTTTCCCCCATGTTAATAGAGGTTTGAGGTCGTAATATCTCTTACAGTTGGCCAATCACACCAGTACTCATAACAAGAGTACTTGAATCTTCTTCTTTAAGCCCATTGCATTCGTCCGCTTTTTTGCTCATGCTTCTCGCGTCCTGTAGTCCCTTTTTGCCTGTGACAGCATTCGCGCAGCCAGCGTTAACAATAACCCCTCGGATTCCGTTCCCGTTCCTCTTTCGAATCAGTTCTGAGCTCACTTGGACAGGGGCTGCTTGGAATTTGTTTGTAGTAAAAACAGCCGCTGCGGAACATGGCTCCTCAGACCACACCAATGCCAGGTCAGGGGCTGATGTATTGGAAGCCTTAACACCTGCATGGCTTCCAGAAACCTTGAAACCCTTTGGATATGTTCCTGATGAAGGTACAAACTTCTGCTTTGATGCCGGAATCGATGCATCAACGGGTGAGGTGAATTGGCGTACCTGGCCCGAAACCGGACTTACTGGCTTGGACAAAAGGCACACATATTGAGAGACTTGGCCAATAGTTCTGATCTGCTTTGGAGCCATCTTCACCGTAGAAGCTTTGCATAGGGTGTATCCAATTGGCCCAAAATTCCAACAGTCCCACGCCAGGGTGAATACTAGAGAGTGTGAGTCAAGTTAATGTTGATGGCTTTGACTCCAAATTATTTAGTTTCGCGGCGCTTCTAAGCTCGGTGATAAGCGCAGATCACGTGCTTTCGCGTTTGCGCTTTGAAGCTTTTCAGGGCGAAACTTCAATATATTTACACTTGGGTTAGGGAGAAGACACCGCGTTTGCGCGTGACACTCAAAAGGGCACAATGAAGCGGAGGCAAGGAGATATATCATCAGATGAGGACCCTTTACAGGCAGAACTGTCTACACCTAAGAGACATAGACAAACACCCCGAAAAAATGACGCATTGGACGAAACCCCAACCAAACGCTCTGCCCTGAATACGCCTTCGAACCGATTGAGAACCCGATTTTCCAAGCAGACACCAACCAAGAGTGTAGATTTCGCTCCTGATTTCGTCTCCCCACTCAAAACGCCAGTCGCGAGAACCCTGTTTAAAACCCCTACCAAAGGTGACCGAGGCACACCAAAGGGGACCCCGTCCCGAATCCAGAATGCTGACCGGTCAGCAAAGAGGAAAAGCGCTAGAATACTTCTCGAGCCCAATGAGGATGACATATGGGATGGCAGTAATACTCTAGCGCGACAAATTTGGGACGTACCGTCTGACGACAACAATGTGACACCCGAAGATGAGAGTGTTGCTGGGGATGAGGAAGCGGATAAAGAGAAAGCACCAGATGCTAAGCCGAAGGGAACGCCTAAAGAGCCTCCTGTTACACCCCGGAAACGAGGGAGGCCACCAAAAGTGCGAGAACCCGGAGACCAAACGCCAAAAACGCCCAAAACCCCGAGGACGCCCAGAAAGAGTGAACGCGTTGCAACGCCGGAAGGGGACCTACCACCTCAGGAGAAATACTTTTTCCAAACTCGGACAGGGCCAGTACAGTCGTCTAATAATACGATGGCCAAGTCGTCGTTATTCACACATGAAGAATTCTTTGAGCAATTTGGGAAATATAAGGATCCACTACAGGAGGAGAAGGATTACTTATTGGAGCTTCACGAACGTTCATTTCCGCAATGGAATTTTGAGATGACTGAGGGGTTTAACGTGTGCATATACGGATATGGGTCTAAAAGGAAACTCGTCCAGAGATACGCTGACTGGTTATATGAGCATAACGATCAACCCCCATTAATTGTGATTGTGAATGGATATACGCCTAACATAACCATTCGATCTGTACTGGCAACCGTCGCCACAGCTATCCTAGGCCCTGATGATACTTCGAAACTAGGTGTTCAGCCTAACGATGTGTTAGAATCTATTCGCTCAGTACTTCAGAAAAACCCACCTCCACGACCTATAATAGTTCTTATCAATTCAATCGATGCGCCGCCATTACGTCGCGCTCAACAGCAATCGCAGCTAGCCCGCCTTGCAAGTATACCACACATCAATATGCTAGTCACTGCAGATACGCCTAATTTCCTAGTGCTATGGGATATCACACTCCGTGATCAGTTCAACTTTGTCTTCCACGACTGCACAACATTTTCTTCATACAATGTTGAATTAAACATTGTGGATGAGGTGCATAGTTTACTTGGACGCAGAGTCCGGCGTATTGGTGGTAAACAAGGTATCGGATTTGTGCTGAAGAGTTTGCCAGAAAATACGCGCAAGCTGTATCGACTGTTGATCACGGAGATTCTTATGATGCTAGGGGATCAGCAGCTAGACGCTGAGGAAGAGAATGAAGCCCGAAACGAAGCCGACGACCATGAAGAAAATGATATCCGAAGCAAAAATGGGGCAGCGATAGAATGGCGGGCTCTATTTCATAAAGCTTCAGAGGAGTTTATTTCCTCGTCCGAGATGATGTTCAGGACACAACTGAAAGAGTTTTATGATCACCAAATGATCACGTCAAAGCTGGACCCCAGTGGTGTGGAATTGCTTGGTGTTCCTCTTTCCCGAGAGGAAATGGAGAGCATACTAGAAGACCTCGTCATCGACGGATAAGAATGAATTATAATGAAAACCACTCTCCCTGTGTTTGATACCCTCTGATTCTCATTCCGGACGTAAAATAGATGTATATACTAGCCATATAGAGCCTTATATATATATGCAATCAATGAAATTGTATATGTCTCCGGCTCAACTTTCAAAGCGCCCACCGTTATGACAAAAAAGAGATCTATACAAGCATAGGTCTAAAATTCAGCAAAAGCGGCCATCGCCAGAGTTGTCCCAAAACTGGCCTTGAAAGGCACATTTTCGTGAGTTAGTTTCCGGAAGTCAACAGATGTGATGTGCCTCTGAAGCCAACTCGTCGGTAGGATGTCATATCCCTTTGATGCCGCCCACTGTTCTCATCAGGTTAGTGACAATCACCACAAAAGATTAAAAATATTAAGGTGCAAGCCGCACCTCGATGATTATAATGGCCAGACCAAAGGAAAACGCCAATGTTCTCGAAAATATACGCAATCCAAGCCCAGCAAGAACCCCAAGGGCACTGCCTAGGCTGATCTGACGAGCGGTCTCGGCGGTGATTAGACCGCCGAAAGATCCTTTCTGCTGCATTGAAGGGTCGCCATGCTGGTGTGTGAATTCAGACAGAGAAGGGTGAAGGGGCCCAGACGCGTAGTCACATCGTATGGGAGAACTGATTCTAGCTTGTAGTACTGAATAAGAAGCACATAGTGGTACGGCGAAGAGGAGGGGCCGGTGGACAAATCGGAGGAACTGGGAAGCCATTGTGATTTTGTTTATACGTCCGCCGCGAATAACGTGCTAGTAGTTGTTGCAGAAGAGCCTAGATGTGTATCCGTTTGCTAGTGGGTTCAACAGACCGTAGGTGTAGTTCTTGTTTGTTGTTTCTTTGCCATCTTCCTGCAGGTGTGGATGACGTCGGATCCCGCCCGGGAAGCTTTCCTGCGTATTATGATTTATCCGACGCCGGACCCACTGCGTCGCCCAATCGGGCCCGGTCGTCGCGGGATTTCGGGAAGGGTAAAATATTCTTCCGTCGTTTCTGGGCTTTTCTCAACTTGGAAATTTCTACTACCATTCTTGATGGAATATAAAAACTCATATAATTCAACTTGTTTCTATATAATATTCTAGCTAATATATCATTTTGGCTATGTCTATAGCCAATAGTGAGGTGGTTATATCCCAAGAGTCATTGGCTGTGTCTCCTAACCACAGCCAATGTCCATCCATATACCCCGGACTATCCATGATGGCTTTTCTTTCACTATACTGCAGTTTTTCCAGTAGGGTATCAAACATTGATACCTACCTCTATACTGGCTATGTTCTAGCCTTATTTTTCTTTGTTCCAGTGCTGTCTACGTTCTCGGTACAGCTCATAGTTTGCTGTACAAATTCCGTATGACATCATCAACTCACCTTTTCCTCAACCAGACTTTTACCATGATATCAGGATGACTGGTAAAATTCTTTGTTCTTCATATATCCGCTGCTTTTCCGTTTGTTTTCTATCCGCTTGCCCTCTTATTCCTTTATCTTCTATTCACATAGCCTTCAGCTCATGCTATTCACAGCAACTTTAGCTCAAGTCATAAAATTACTATTTAACCATCCTTCTTACTTCTCTCAACCTCTTCCATTTCTTTTTCTCTCCCTACACCAATATCGCCTTCTACCTATCTCTCCATCAGTATTTCACATTTGTTCTACCAGCAAAAGCAGTACACACTATAGTGTATACCTCTTTCTAGCTCAACATGTCTCAACCAAACCGGCAACCTAACCCCCTTTACATGGCAAGGCGCCGCGTAACAGCAGAGGTTGCCTACGCAGGGCCTCAGATGCCAACTCCACCATCGTCTTCATTCTCTGGAAGTATCCCGGCACATCGACCAAGACGCATCCGAAGAGTCGAAGGCTCTTCTGAAAGTGAAGCTCCATCTTCGATAGGAGATGATGAGATTCATAACGAAGATTATCGCGCTGGTGGCCCACACCTTGTGAGGCTGCCAGGACTCAGCGAGCCTCTCGAAAGACGTGATCCTCTCGATGTCACATGGGATGAAGTTCTCCGTGCACCAGTCCGCAGCATCCTTGACAGATACCGTGTCGATATGTCCAGCGCGGTTCCTGTTCGCCGCTGTTTTAACGTTGTATCAGAAAGATACGATACCATCTTGATTCTTGCTAGAAAGCATAACTTGGCAAGCGATTCCTGGTTTAGGGCATGCAAGGACATTCTACAACTCTTCCGTTCAAAAGGGCTCATGCAGTTGAACGTGGAGATTCTCGATAAGCGGGCCAACCCCCGAATCGTGACCTACCCAATCTCACCAGATGACCCTTTTGTTAGGGCGTGGAACTCCATACGCCCACAAGTCCTTAGCATACTCGGAAGGAATGACTGGACATTATTATATGTTATTCGCCAAAGAGTGGAAGATCAGAGAGAAGGCCCAATCACCGTCGCTATTACAGTGGCTGAAGAGTCCATCAATGATTGGACTAGAATCAGAGATGAGATTGTGCAGCTCTTAGATAGCAACGGGTACTATGGCGTTGCCGTTAACATACGTCGCGGAGATATCTGGAATATGGCACAATACTCGCATGCGTTCTTGGAAGACCGCGATTGGGACACCAGAGCCAAGCTTGGCGGAAGCCTGGGTCCTCAAGGGTCTAGAGAGTCAGCTTCAACATTTGGAGGGTTTGTTGACCTCCAGAGCTCTGTATCGGGGCAATGGACGAGATATGGTTTAACAAATTTCCACTGTGTCGTCGCTGACGCTAAATCCGACAAGTCTTACAATGAATGGGTCAAAAATGGCATTAGGCCAGAAGGTTGCAAGGACCTAAAGCTAGATTCTCCTGCCCTCAAGGACCATGAATCGGCCCTAGCACATTATCAAAATGAACTAGATACAGGACGCAAAGACCTGCCTCCAAATGATGTAGTCCAACGCATCCTTGATGGTGACCCGTCAATTCCAAATTCACACAAGGTGCGGTACAGACTGCAAAAATCTATAGTTCGCGATATTGAAGCCACCATTCAAAGGGCTACCCCTTTTGGACCAGACCAGCGGTACCTTGGCTTTGTTTACGCTGCGTCTGGGTTTACAGTTAACCCACGGAAGCAGCTTCTTGACTGGGCTTTAATCGACGTCGATAGGCGCCGTATCACAGCTAACGAGGTATTATATGGCTTCCCTACTTTTTTCCTGGACCAAAGGCTTTCTTATTAACTCTTACTTATTAGATCCCTGCAAATGATGCTGTGAACCCGAAATACAGGGCGAAATATGTTCCATCAGCACCAGTCATGAGTGGCACGGCCTCAGTAGATGAGCATGACTTAGTATTCAAAATCGGCCGGACAACTGGGTTCACTGGAGGCAGGGTCAACGGGATCAAGCTCTCTGATTTGCAAGGATGGACCACGAATGCCCAGGGAGAGCGAGAATATGTCCAAGGAACTGCAGTGGTCGTGGGTTCCTTGAACCATAACATCCCATTTGGCGAGCCGGGAGACTCGGGAAGCTTTGTGATGAATAATGACGGGCAATTCGTGGGGCTCTACATTGGAGGCGATGTAGATAACCAAACTGGTCTCTTCATCGAAGCGCAATGTCTCTTTGAGGATATCAAGAGGGTCACTAACTGCCGCAACGTCAGGATCTGAAGCCAAATAGGAGTTTGGCCATTGGTTATTGCTAATTAATGGATACAGCCTGACCGTGCATCTACAGATAGAAATGAGAACCAATAGAATGTTAATCCAACCTGTACTCTGTCGTATGCATATCCTGGTGGAAAAGATGCTTCCCTAGCGTCGCCGCGGAGAGAAAAAGAGGTCGATACGAGAAAACGTCCTGTCCCTCGCATCTAGACTGCTTCCAACCCATAACATAATAGTTTCTATATATCACCAGATTAAAAAGCCACCAAGGTCTCCCTCGCTACCGGCGGGTAAACGGATATCCACGGCGTCCTCTTTCATCGTCAAGACGAAGACTTACAGAGTATGGACGATTTTGCTGTTCAGATGACTTGATATAAACTTGCATCTACGCACATCGGCTGCTGGTTGCGCCCTTCAAGTCATCGACAGTCACAAGAAGAAGAAGACCAAATTGATAAGACTTTCTTTTCATGCCCGGCGTAAACTTCCGCTAAAACTTTCTTCTCGACCGAATTTGTGACCAAAGAAAAAAAAACTGCGGGGGGCCAACATCTTTCTCTTGTTATATCCTCGACAATTGACAATTGACACATTTTCCTCGTCTTGCAGTGGGAATTGACAGTCGCTTCACTCTACTCTTCTCTGGAGATATATCTTTGTACAGCTTTGTACATCTAACCCCCTCGCTATCTATCAAAAAATGGCACAGGAACACCCCGCCACCGGCTCTGCCGGCGAGAACGGAGTCACCAAGGACTTCACCGTCAAGGCTGGTCTGGCTCAGATGTTGAAGGGCGGTGTCATCATGGACGTTATCAATGCTGAACAGGTCTGTTTTTGTGTTCGAGTTCCCTCTTAACTGCGACGATGGCTGACCAGGCGTAGGCAAGAATTGCTGAAGAAGCAGGCGCCTCGGCCGTCATGGCCCTCGAGCGTGTTCCGGCCGATATTCGAGCTGAGGGAGGCGTTTCTCGCATGTCTGACCCCGGAATGATCAAGGAGATCATGGCTGCTGTCACCATTCCGGTCATGGCCAAGGCCCGGATAGGCCATTTTGTCGAATGCCAGGTTAGTCATAGTTTTACATACATGAACTTGAGGGTTAGACATGCTAATGGGGGGTTTTTTTTTTCAGATCCTGGAAGCAGTTGGCGTCGACTACATCGATGAATCTGAGGTCCTGACTCCGGCAGACCACGTCTACCACGTCACCAAGCACTCCTTCAACGTCCCATTCGTGTGCGGGTGCCGAAACCTGGGCGAGGCCCTCCGCCGTATCTCCGAAGGCGCTGCCATGATCCGTACCAAGGGAGAGGCCGGAACCGGCGACGTCGTCGAGGCAGTCAAGCACATGCGTCAGGTAAACACTGAAATTGCCCGTGCCAGATCCATCCTGCAGTCTGCGCAGGACCCCGAGATCGAGCTGCGCGCATTCGCCCGTGAGCTAGGTGCTCCATACGAGCTGCTGCGCGAAACCGCTGAGAAGGGAAGGCTTCCTGTCGTCAACTTCGCCGCCGGTGGCGTAGCTACCCCCGCAGACGCCGCTCTCATGATGCAGCTCGGCTGCGACGGTGTGTTCGTTGGATCTGGAATCTTCAAGTCCGGTGACCCGCGCAAGAGGGCCAAGGCCATCGTCCAGGCCGTCACACACTTCAAGGATGCCAAGATGCTCGCTGAGCTGAGCGAGGGACTGGGCGAGGCCATGGTCGGTATCAGCGTACGAGACATGAGTGAGAAGGATAAGTTATCTGGACGAGGCTACTAGGGTGATCCTCCAACATTCAATCGATTCAACTGCCCCCCTTCCTACAAATAACTATATGGACCTCTTCGAATCAACCACCCTTTTTCAGAGCCATTGTCCCTCTGCTATAGTATGACTTGTTTTTTTGGGACGTCGTGGATATATCTTTTGGTTTCTCCTGATACGAGTATTTTTTGTATATGAATGGCGTGACTGGAAAAATCTTGCAATAGCGTTTTCAAAAGTTGTCCCAGGCCCAAAGCACTTCGAGGTTTCATTTAACTACACACTAGATTAACTACTAGTTAGAAAATAGAGTCGGATCAAGGACGTACTCCTCATCGAAGATATTCATATATATATCCTTGAATTATCTCATTCTCATAGTAGACAGTGAAAACATGGCACAACAATATCATCAACAAAATACACCCAGTACATCAAAGAATGTCCTCGAACTACTTCTTTCCCCCTACCCTATACTGGGCCTGTGGTCGTCTCTGCGAAGCTAGTGAATCGGACACCCTATTCCCAGCAGGGGTATTGGTACTTCCTCTATTCTTAGAGAGATTATCCGCAGGCTTAGTTTTAGCCAGATAAGCTGGGTCATCGATATACCAGCAGCAGCCACAGACGCCATTGTTGTAGCAGCACTGTGGGTTGGCTCCCTGTACGCAGACGGTGCCGACACAGGGTGCATCGCAGTAGTTGTGGTAGCCTATAGTGGTATCCATCTATTAACTCCTTTGCGCACATATGAATGATTGAATCAGGTAGCTACTTACCATCACCACGGCTGTCGAGGGTAAGTCCAGGGACAAAGCCGACTTCTGTACCCTCTCGTACTTGAACAGCTAAGCAAATATTTTAGCAACTCATCTTTCGTCCTCATTTGCATAGAACATACAGCTGAGCAATGCCTTGGTAGCTGGGTCTGGTGCAGCAATTGCAGCTACATTCGCGACGAGCAGGGAGATAACAGCAGCAGTGATTTGCATCTTGAAACAAGGAAGGTTGTGAACGGTGTAAGTCAAGTTTGGATATTTGGTTATTGGATAGTAGAGAAGGTGAAAACGATCTGATGAGAGAAACCAAGGGGAACAAGGCCCCTTTTATAAAAGAACTGGTATATGCGTATATCAAGAGCCGTAGCTAGAGAAACCCCGGATTCGAGCCTGAGCACCATAATCCGGGGATATTCGATATTTTCTCATGCATCATCTCCACCATAACGTAACGTAGCAATGCTTCACACGGCTAGATACCCGACTGATGGATTCATGGAGTATCCTGTAAATCGCGCAGTAATTGAAACATGGCAGTTGTGTGTCTCTCCACTTATATGGACAGATATCTGGTATATAGTAGTTGGCGGGCTTCTTCGCTATGGGTATTTTTATTTCATGTCTAAACACTGCTCCCAAGACGGATCGTATCTCAGCACTCGTTGAGAGATGCCAGGCAACCTGTTCGTCTTCATTCTGGATCTGTGGTCGAACTTGTAACATCTTTGATGTCTGAAATAGAAAATGCGATATTTATGCCGTCATGCCAAGCTTAGAAGTTGTTGAGATGCTGAATTATGTTGGATATCAATCGACTTGGAATAAAGAAACGTAGCTATGTAACTCTCACGGATTAGTGCGGGGAGATAAATATCAAATGTTGGTAATGGCTTGCATCTGAGTGCTTGACGCTCGAGTGAACATACAATTACCCCAGAAATCACGCGACTCACTGCATTAGTGCCTTAAAGATAGTTTAGAGGCTTGATATTACTATATTTTATCTTTCATTCATCCATTCGTCCAGGTTCTAACCATACATCAATCGTCTCAACCCAAACTAAATCCTTTACACCTGGCACATAACCGTAGCCCAACAACCTGAGATGAGAGGTTTCTTTCAATCACCCGAGCTATCAGGCTTCGAGATGTATTCATTCATGCATATGCAAATCCTTTACCCCTGTTAGACACCCAGAAATGCTTGACATTTGCGTTTGTCTGCCTTGCTCCGCGAAGAGAAATAATCGTAGAAAGGAACTTCTGTAGGTCCTGAGGTGAAACAGACGGTTCCGGCTGTGGCTGCACTTCCCCGGTGCCAGCAGTAGCATTTCTAGAAGCAATATTCAGTGATGCTAACCCATTTCCAAAATAAAGTCGAGCAGCTCCCTGATGTTTGAAGACGAATTTCTTTATGACTTCGCAGAAATGGTCCAGGTCCGAACGAGCGCAGTTGCCAGCAGTCTGGTGCATGACGGTTTCTCCGAGAATGCTCAGATATGGGTCAAGGAGCCCTGGGGGTTCATCTGGCTGTGGACGCCCCATAGAAGCTCCGTTTGAGAGAAGCCCGGCAGGTAGGTCGGTAAGGGCCAGTATAGCAGTCCAGAAAGAGCAGGATGCGCGAAGTGGCAGGGGATCTGGCCTCTTGAGTACATCCAGAGTAAAGCTTAGGATCGTAGGAAGGGGTGGCGGAGCACCATCCACGTACTGTAGGTTAAAGAACTGAGTATAATATTTCGGGATAAGGCGAGTAAGGAAGTCTATGCAGCTGTGGGCCGCCTCTGGATCATAGCTGCTAGGCGATACCGTCAGGCTTTGTATCAAAGCAGCAGTATGCATCGTTAACTCTGTAACTTCTTGTTCGATGACTCCGGGATTTGATGCGTGGGAGGCCAAAAAGGCAGTCGCAGTTGCCATGACATTTGAAAACCGAGGAGATGAGATATTTGTAGCTTTCACAAAACGGACCGTCACCTGAGACGGGAACACATAAGGCCCTGGTTGTTTCTCGGTGTATCCAGCTTTGAGCACATCACATGTTGCCTCAATCATATAGCTCTCGTTGGGAAACTGACCAACTAACGTGTCTAGAATACGGATGACAGTCTCAGTAACAGAAATTCCCAAAGGATCGCTGACCCAAAATGAGTTTGTGGTAGGCTGTGGTTCTTGGGCATCTAGGTCAATTATATCATCGTCAGGGGCGCGAATTCCCATGCCAATACTCGCAGTGCATCGCATTGCTATTAAACTGCGCTCCAGACCTTCTTCATATTGGCCATTGCTTGCTTGTTGACATGCTGCCTGTGCTTCGAGGAGTAAAGGGTTGAGTAATTTTAACAAGCCCATAGCCTTCTCGCTATCGAGCTCTGTTGCTTGAATTACCGCGGCAATACCTTCCGCAACACGCTCAAGAGTGGAGTCACCAAGCGAAGCTTTGCTGCATAATTGGTGAAATTTATCGATGAATCCTTGGGAGTGCATTGGGAGGAATTTTCGACAAGATTGGCAGAGAGATGATATAGAGCGCGAAGCCACTTGATCACAGGAAGGAAAATCAAGGGAGCTAAACAGGAAGTTCAACACCGGGGCAAGGAGCTTCCCGTTCCTAGCAAGGTATGGCGTATAGTGATCGATCATGTCTGCCATAGTTTGTCGTGATTTTAGTGGAATCTCTTTATGGCCATAGCAAACTGATTCAAACACGTCTGAGCAGAATAAAGAGTCAAGAAGAGGGTCGGCATGCTCATTTTCAGCAACTGATTCTGCAAGGGATCCTAGGCAATAAATCGCAACCTCGAATGCATCCCAGTCCTGTTTTGCAATTGCAGATGATGCTTGCTCCAGAATATGGCGGATAACATCAACCCCCAACAATGGATACACCTCAAGAAGGTAGTCGGTAAATTCACGACGGAAATAGTTGAAAAGTTTCAACTCGTTATCATCCCAGCTCTGGGCGACTTCATGAGTTGGATAACGCAACTTATCATAGCCTTCGGTAATGACTCTGGCAAGCTTTTGTTTAACCTCCTCCGAAATAACTAACACCCCATCGAGAACCAGCTCATCTATGTCGCTCGCAACCTCAGTCCAAAATTCTAACAGCATGATGACAGCACAATCTTCAACTTGGGCAAATCCAGGTGCGTGAAATAGT